TGGGCTCAGCAAGCTCTCCGGCTGCTGTGTCTTGATATACCTGTGACCTCGTGAAGGCCCAGGCCGGATGTTCCGACAGCTGGTTCAGATTCACCATTCGCCTTTTCAAAAATTTTTATTTTCAGTTACTTGATTACTTGGAACTTCATCCATGTGGCAAGCAGCCTTGTCTTGTGCCGTGGACTTTTGCAGACAGATCTGGCTTCAAATCTCGATTCTGTTACTTAGAAGCTGTGTGACCTTGTGCAAGTTACTTAACCTCTCTGTGTCTCCATGAGCAAGTTACTTAACTTCTCCGTGCCTCGGTCTCCTCCCCAACTTAAAGGGGGGTGATGATGATGACAGCCCCCATACCGTGGGCTCCTGAGGAGGACTAAATGAGTCCAAAAGGTGGCCTTTTCTTGGAACGGTTCCCAGCATACGTTTCCATCATTTCATGCATCCAGACCTACAAGGGGATCCGAGGCAGCGAGCATTTGCAAGAAATGTTTCCCAGACTGGAAACACTGAATCTCCGTGCGCATCTCTTCTTTCCTTCCTCTTCCCGCGTCCTCCTGCCAACATTTGCTGAGGGCTCCTGGATCGGCTAGACACCCGGTAGGACAGGCCAGCGCCCCCGCCTGCTCAGGCGGCCTGTTTGGGGCCAGGGACATTTCTGCAAATCCTGGGGCCTGCGCTGGGGGAGGTAAGCGCCTGACTTTGAGATGCTGAGATCCGGGGCTCACAGTGGAGCCGGGAGGGAGGTTGAGGTGGGAGTCGGCGAGGGGACACTGCGTGATGCCCGACGGCCGGGCTCCTGCTGACACCTAGTGGAAGGACGGAATTCGCATCCTTTTCAGCCAGGGTGCCTCTGCGAGATTGAGGTCTCCCCCAGAACATCTACGAGATGTCGCGCAGACAGACCCGGGCCAGAGAGGGAGCAACTTGCTGGGCGTCACACAGCACATCGGCTGCCCCAGGGGAGGGGGTGTTGAAGGACCCAAGATATCATTTTAAAGGAAGCTGTTTTGGGGGGACAGGTAAGTGAGGTCTCAGGCCTTGATGAGATAACGTGTTTTCCGAGCTTTTATTCCTCCACCAGGAAGCCCACCTGGATTGCTCCATCCCCACTCCGAGGCCTTTTTTCTCCTCTGGCCAGTTGTTCATTTGTTCATCCTTTTAACAAAGGTTTACTGAGCCCATGGGGACATGCAGGGAACTAAATATTTTTAAACAATCAAACAACAACAAAAAAACCCCTGTGCTGGTGGAACTCATACCTCAGCGGAGGAGACAGAGGAGAAACCAACATACAAATCTACAAATGGGAGTATTTCAGGGACTAAGAAGCCGTTGAAAGAACTTGGTGATGCGACAGAGACTGAATTTGTGGGTGCCAAGGTGGGGGGAGGAGAGGATCAAAGTTAGCCATGCTCAGGGAAGGCCTCTCAGAGGAGGTAACATTGAAACCAAGAATTGAAGGAGGAGAGGGTGTGAGCCCTGGGGGAGATACCTGGGGCAGGCCAGAGGGCACAGTTCGTGCAAAGGCCCTGGGGCAGGACTGGGCCTGACGTGTTGGAGGAGCAGCGAGGAGGCCGTGTGGCTGGAGCAGAGGGAGGAGGGGAGCAGGGAGGGGACAGGCAGGTCGTGCGGGGCCTGGGGGGCCGCGGGGAGGACTCGGCTTCTCCCCCAGGGAGGGGAGCCTGGAGGGCTGTGGGCAGAGGAGGCGGGACCGGCTCAGGGGCTCCCAGGCACTCTCTGGTGGCGGCTGCGGGGAGGACAGACGGGGGGACCAGGATGCAGGGGCCTGCGCTGATGGGCTGGACCAGGGAGACGCCCACAGAGGGAGGAAGAAGCGATCGGATCCTGGCTGTACTGGAAAGCAGGGGTGATCGGGTTTGCTGAGTGGCTGCATGTGGGCGGCAGAGCAAGGAGCCCGGGGCAGCTCCCAGGTTCTGGCTGAGCCCCCGGGAGAAAGCAGCGTCCTCAGCTGAGACGGGGAGATGGAGGGAGGAGCAGTTTCTTAGTCCGTCTGGTCTGTTGTTGCAAACTACCGGAGACGGGGGCCTTATAGACGATGCACATTTATTCCTCACGGTTCTGGAGGCTGAAGTCCAAGGTCAGGGCGCTGGAAGATTCCGTGTCCGGCGGGAACCTGCTTCCTGGTTCACAGACTGGCTGTGTCCTCATGTGGCAGAAGCAGCAGGGAGCTCTGTGGGGTCTCTGTTATAAGGGCACGAATCCCGTTCATGGGGGCCCCACCCCCACAACCTCATCACCTCCCAAAGGCCCCACTTCCTGACCCCACCGCCTTAGGGGTTACGTTTCAACATATGAATTTGGGGTGGGGGGGACACCAACAGTCGGTCCACAGCAAGCAGGTCAGAGGAAGATAGGGAGCTCGGTTGGGGTCATGATAATTTTGGGATGGCCGTGACTCCCCCACCCGTACCCTAGTGGAGACATGGAGGGACAGCTGCATGGGACCCTGGAGCTCAGAGTGGCCTGGGCTGGAGACAAGACTGTGGGCGTCGAAAGGGCACAGATGGGGTCGGAGCCCAGAGGACGGATGGGGCCACCGGGGAGGGGTGTGGGTGGAGGAGAGACGGGGCTCGAGGATCCAGCCCTGGGCCAAGAAGGGAAAGGGGGGAGTCCCAGGGGAGCTGGAGAGGTGGGAGGGGAGCCGGGTGAGTTCGGGGTCCGGGGCTGCGTGAGAACAGAGTTCCCGAGATGAGTGGGGACTGGCCAGGTTGGATGCTGGCTCAAAGTTCCCTTTTTTCCCTTTTTACGGCTGCATAATATTCCATTGTATGGACAGACCACACCTTGCTCATCCTTTCACCCATCACTGGACATTTGGGTTGTTTCCATCTTCCGGCTACTGTGAGTCCTGCTGCTGTGGACATCCATGCACAACTTTGCGTGGCTGTACATTCCCAGTTCTCTTGGGTCAGATGATAATTCTGTGTTTAACCTTCTGCGGAACTGCCAGACTGTCTTTCAGAGCGGTTGCATCATTTGACGTTCCCACCAGCAACAGAGGAAGGTTCCAGTTTCTCCCCATCCTCCACAACACTTGTTACTGTCCGTCTTCTCGATGACAGCCATCCTGGCAGGTGGGAAGTGGCCAGTCCGGTTGCTATTAGGTTTGAAATATCCATCACGTCAGCCCACTCATCGCCAGCCCCGGGCCAACTTGAACATCTGCCCTGGTCTACCCCCCCTCCAAAGTTCACAAAGTAGGTGGTCAGTTAATACTTGTTCAATGAATGAATGAATGGAATATTATGCAGCTGTCAAAAATGATGTTACAGAAGAATGTTTAATGAGGAGGTCAGCAGAACAACGCCCCCCTCAGCATCCACATCCTCATGCCCGGAACCTGTGACTATGCTCCCTTCCGTGGCAAAAGGGACTTTGCACATGAGAGTAAGTTAAAAATCTGGAGATGGGGAGATTATTTCTCATTATCCGGGTGGACCTGATGTAATCACAGGGGTCCTCCTAAGAGGGAGGCAAGAGAGTCAAAATCTAAGAACTGGAAGAAAATAAATTTGTGTTGTTTTCGGCCACTGTTTATGGAAATTTGTCACAGCAGCCATAGCGGACGAATAGAGAAGGTCTTTGCGATGTCTTACTGTGACAGTGCCCTGCCCAGCCATCCTGGGTCTGAGACAAAGGGAAAATGTGTGCCTCTCAATATACGCTTTATGCAATTTTTTAATGGTTAACCCCCCCCCCCCCAGTAGATGGTGAAATGTTATCAATATGTTTGTTACCATTAAAGGCAGGCAAGTAAAATTCTAATCAGTTCTTAACGTCGTGAATTTTAATATGTCTAGTTTTAAGTTTCAATATTTTTTCAACGATGTTCTGGGGGGGGGAAATAGTCATTAAAAGTGCATTAAAAACAGGTATAGAGCGGCACAAATTTTTGTTCCCTCCTCGGATTCCAATGCGGCGTGGCAAGACCCTGCCAACATCTGTCTTGATTTAAAATTTTGATATTTTGTCCTTAGGGGGGTCGTTTCGCCATTAATTTGATATTTTAGAATAGTGCATTAAAGTATTATTTACCTTGATTATTGAGTTTTGGGATGTCCTCTTAATTTTTGCACCTCAGGCGGATGTCTCACCCTCCTCACCATAATCCTGGCGGGTGTGTGTATGTGTGTGTGTTGGGATTGTGTTTATTGCACGCTTTCTTCTGTATTTTCCTCCTCCCAGCTTCCTCTGCATCAAGCAGAGCGATGCACGCGTCCTCAGGAAGCGCGAAAATCATCTCGGCCGACCGCAGGCGTAGAATGTTCTTTTTCAGGAGCTACAATGTAACAACTCTTTGCAACATTGTTTATCTAAAGTCCCCAGAGTTACAACCTCCGCCAGTTTCCGCAGGGCCGCGGTTAAGCACGCTGACTCCACATCCACCAACGTCCTCGGTTCAGTCCCGGCGAAAACGTGCTCGTATGTTTTTTTCCTTCTGATGGAATTTTAAAACTGTCATAGAAATTCTTGGTCCTCGCTTTTTTTTCTTTTCTTTTCTTATTTCTCCTGCCTTTTTAGAAATTATGATGGAATTTTAAAAATTATTTCAAAGTCAAAAAATTCGAGTTGGCTGATTTGACTGGAAAATTTTAAATGGATGGTAAAAGAGAAAAGGGGAGCTGCAATTAACGAGAAAGAAAAAGCAGCAAGAGTGAAACCCAAAACTTCTGCGTTGGCCGGGAATCGAACCCGGGTCAACTGCTTGGAAGGCAGCTATGCTAACCACTATACCACCAACGCATCGGCGAGGCAAAGTCTCGCCAGGCACCTTTAATAGAAGTATTGTTGGTTGGATTGGGCGATACCAAGTTGCGTGGGGGTGTCTCCTCCCCAGCGTCCCCCTCCGCACCGGAAGGCGCCGCCCATGGCACGTTCCGAGCCGCGAGCCGCGCGGGCCTCGCCCCCCAGAGCCGCGGGAGCCTTGGTGCCGGCCGGGAGGTAGCCAATCCTAGGCCGCCGCTTGGACCGCTCGACTTCCGGGTCAAAGGGGCCTGGGCCGCCGGGTCCCCAGTGTCTGCCGCCCCTGCCGTCCCCCACGCCCGCCACTTCCGGGGCCGCCGTCCGGGCATGGAGCCGCGAGCGTGAGGCGCCGCCGGCCCCGGGACGCCCTGCCCAGCCCGGCCGCCGCCCCGAGCCCCGGTGAGCAGCGCCCCGCGCCCGCCATTGACCCGCCCTGCCTGGGCCGCGACCCTGGACCCGCCGTGGAGCGGCCTCCCAGGGCCTCCGCGCGCCCCTTCCTCCCCGCTCCCCTGGGTGGGGGGCCGCGCCCAGGAAGACCCTCCCTTCCCCGCAGGCCCCGGGGGTCCCCCCTCCCCTCTCCCTGCGTGACAGCGGAGGCCACCTCCCTGCACCCCCTCCCCCTGGCCCCCCCAGGCCTGTCCGGCCCCGCTTCCTGCCGCACAGCCTCAGCCCAGCCCTGACTCTTCCCCATGGCTGCCGCCGCCGACCCATCGGAGGTGGCCCGTCCCTCTGCCCCCACCGCTGCCTCCCCCCTCCCATCCCCCGGGGTGAGGAAGTCACTTCCTCGCCCTCGCGGCCAGACCCTGCCCGCCTTGGAAGGGCCCAGGAGGCGTGCACGGGGGTCACCCATCTCTGGAGTTCCCCCCCCAACCCGGGTCCTGGGGGGAGCCGGGCCCCGTGGGAAGACTTTTGTCCCACGTGCGGTGCAGGGCGACAGACAGCGCCCCAGGGCTGTGAGGTGTGGCTGGGATCACCCGGGTGGAGAGGATCTGGCAGCTGATGGGGACTCCCCAGGGGAAGGAGAGAGGGTGGTTGGCCAGTCCCGGCGTTAACCCGCCGTGTTCATGACATGTTTCCTCTGTCAGGGTCCGTGTCCCACGGCCGAGCCGGCATGGAGGCTTTCTCGACCCTTTAGAAGGTCAGTTGCGCCGGGGTGGGGTGGCCGGGAAGGCCGGCGGGTGGGCCGGTGGGATTCGTTTGCTGGCTCCAGGGTGTAGAAGTTGGCAGGAAGTGGTTTTTCCTGGGGTCACTGCCCTCCGGGACAGTTGGCTGGGACCTAGGCCAGGGGCTGCAGCTTTGTGTGCTCTTTCTGGACGCTTCTCTTTCCATCCAGCCTCCCCCTCCAGCCGCCCCAGGAAGAACCCCCTGAGGGACTCGGGGGGAAATAGGGGAGGGGGACGCTGATTCCAGCTGGATTTGGCGGAGGTGTGGCTGTAACCCCCTAGGACCTGACACAGAACCTCGCACTCAGTCAGCGAATGGTGTGGCTTCTGGCTCTGAAAGGGACTTTCATCCAAATCTCCCTCTGGCGTGATTTTAAATTACTTGTTTAGTTGACAGTATTAGCTGTCATGTAGTTCCTGCTAGTCGGGAACCTGTGCGATCTCATTTCCTCCTGGCAGGAGCCCCAAGAGTAGGTACTGAGGTCCCATTTTATACCTGGGAAAATTGAGGCACAGGGAGGTTAAGTGGCTTCCCCAAGGTCACACAGCCCAGAAGTGGCAGAGCTGGGATTTGAACCCATATCTTGGACAGCAAAGCCCACTCGGTTCACCACCGGACTGAGGTTTAAGCCAGTGCTTCTTTATGGGGACACTTTGCTTCGCCTCTTCTGTGTGATCTCTGTCCCGTGACCAGGCACTGCTTTCTTTGTCTTTAAGCATCTGGGCACCTGCTCATCCTGGGGCCTGGCTGTTGAGAAGGTGGTTGGCTGTCAGCCAGACCAGGGGTCCTTTTGACTTTAGGCAGCGCTCCAGTGAGGCCAGGGACTCGGTCGTCCGACCTGAAATGTTTATTGAGTGCTTCTGTGTGCCAGGTCTGGCTCTGGGCTCAGGGATGAGAGCATGAAGAGGACAGTGGTGGGCCTGCCCTGTGGTGCTGAGGTCCCAGCAGGGAGTGCTCCTTCCCCAGGGCAGGGCTAGTCAGGCTGGCGCTAGTGGTGTTTGGGGCCGGATCGTCCCTTGCAGTGGGGTTGGGGACGCCCTGTGCATTGTGGGATACTCAGCAGCATCCCTGGTCTCCACCAACCAGAGGCCGGTAGCTCGCCTCCCAGTTGTGTCAACCAGAAACCACCCCTGGGAAGGCACATCATCCCAGGGGGAGGCCCCCTGGGTTAGGGGCTTCCTGACCCCCAAGAGACTCTGCATTCCCTTATCCTCTGGTCCACGGAGGACCTCGGGTGCTCCACACATTTAAAGACGCAAACTGAGTGGGAGAGAGAGGAGAGGACTCAGACGCGGGGGGGTCACCCTGGCCTCCACCGTCTGACCATCAGGGTTTTATTCCGGTGTCTACTGTGACCAGGGATCAAACTCAGTTTTTTTGCCTAATGCTGAGTTTCTCATCCTTGGACTGTAGACACTGGGGCCGGGTCACTCTCTGTGGGGCTGTCCTGGGCACTGTGGGGGGTGAGCAGCATCCCTAACCCCACCCACTCAATGCCAGGAGCATCCCCAGTGTGACAGCCATGACTGTCTGCAGACATTGCGAGGGTCCCCTGGGGGCAGCATCACCCCCATGGAGAGCCATTGTCCAAGGGTGAGTGCCGTGCAGAAAGACCCGGTGTTGTGAGGAGGGTGACCAGGTGGCAGCTTTGAGCTGAGTGCGGGGGAGAGCTCTGATGAGGTGCTGTTGGGACCCAAAGGATAAGAGGAAGCAGGTCATGTGAAGAGCAGGAAGCAGGTATCCCAGGCAGAGGGACCAGCAAGTGCAAAGGCCCTGAGGTGGGAATGAGTCCCTGTGTTTAGAGGAGAACAAGCCCAGGGTGGTTGCAGATCACGGTCAAGGGCGGAGAGAGAAGGTTGAGGTCAGGAAGGCATCCTAGAGCAGTCACAGTGGGGACTGGGGCTCATTCGGTTTCTGGCAGGTGCCCGCGGGTTGCATCCCTGAGCCCAGCCTCTCGGGGAGCTGTCACCTTGGGAGCCCCGCCTGATTTCTGGCGAACGCCTGGCATCTCCTGAATTTCAAGGCAATTAAGGCCTGAACCACCCGCCTTGTCAGAACGCCCTTGGTCTTGAGTGTCCCCGGAGGCGGGGACAGCCACCTGAGAAATGGGAGGGGGGAGAAGGGGCGAGAAGGCAGCCACCCGCAGCTGCAGCTCTGCTCTCTCCGCCCGCAGGCTGCTCTCCTGAGGTCGCCGAGTGGTTCATGCGGAAGGTCAAGAAGCTGCGCCTGGACAACGAGAACACAGGAAGTTGGAGAAGGTGGGCGCGGCTCGGGAGTAGAATTTCCCGCCAGGTCTGGGTCTGGGAAGACCCCTTTGTCCCCTCCCCCTCCCCTCCAGCCCCATTTCTGCGTTTCCCCGGGCATAGTTGTGGCTGCTTCGCGTGAGGAGGCAGCGTCTCTCCGCCTCGCCATCTTTGACGGGGGCCCGGGGGGAGGGGGGGGCTGGGTCATTCCCTGGGGGGCCGTCCGATGCACGGCGGGGGGTTGAGCAGCATCCCTGGGTTCCACCTGCTTTCTGCCAATAGCTCCCCAACTCGTGACAACCACACGTGTCCCCATCATCACCCAGTGTCCCCAGGGGCAGCGCCTCCCCAGGTTGAGACTGCTGGCTTCGTGATTAGGATGTGGGCTTCACGTCCAACCGACTTGGGTTCCCTGCCCTTCCTCGTGGGTGACATTGGGCGGGCCATTTGGCCCCTCTGAGCCCACTTTCCAGTACCCCAAATGGAGTGACCCGGAACTCCCCTCCCGCAGTTACCGTGAGGCTTAAACGTAATTCTCCACGCGAGGCCCAGGCGCTGGGTAAGTTTCCCTGTCTGGGCCGGCACGAGCCGAAGAGCAGGCAAGAGTCCCCCACGAGCTGACCCCTCGGGGTCCCTTCTCCAACACCCTCAGGCTTGTTTGCTCTGGCGAGCGTGAGCCACTGGGGAGGCGGGAAGGGAAGCAGACGGTTCTGGAAGACAGAGTGATGTCCACACAGTGGGCCATTCCCCAGGCGCAGGCTCTGAAAGCGGGCGGTCCCCGTGCCTGGTGGGTCACGCGTCAGGAGCCAGTTAGTGGTGGCGACCGAGTCTCCCTTCTCGCGTGCGTGGGGCGCCGGTGGGCACAGGCTGGCCCACGAGCCCCCTCGGAGGCTGGGTGTGAGAGCAGAGGCCCGGGCAGCCCTCGTGGGGCAGCGGGTGGCATGCCGTTTCCCGGGAACCTGCACCTGCAGGGACACGGCTAGTGTCCCCAGGACCACCGGGAAGCCTTTCCTCCCTCCGGAGCACGGCGAGCCCCCTGCCCCTTGGCTCCCCTCGCCTTGGCCTCCGTTCCCTCTTGCTGATGACCCTGGTCGGCCTGAACCCTCCAGACCCGCAGCCAGCACCGAGCCCACAGTTCCTTCTCGCCTTCGCCTGCGTCCCTCCTCCCAGGCCCCAGTGGGGCCTCTGGCAGATGCCCTGGGGCTGGTGGCCCCGGCTCGCGGAGCCCCAGCTCAGACAGACGTCACAGAGCTCCCCCGGGGCCTTGACAGTGGCTGCCCTGGAAGGCCGCGGGCTGTCTGCTGTGGCATCATGGGCTGCGAGGTCTCCGGCCAATTGGCAAGAGGCGAGTGTAGGTGGACCTGGCCTAAGTGGCTTGGAATCCGCTCGCATTTCCTCGGCTGTGTAAACTCTTGACCAAAAGGCCAGCACAGGCTGCCGCAGAATGAGCAGCGGCCGGCACAGATGGGCCTCTCCTGTGCCTTGGCTCTGCTGTCCGCAGCGTCTCTGCCGTGAGGCTCTGTCTCTGGAGAGGAGAGGAAGCGGAGGGCCAGGGGCTTGCGCAGCACCCCCCCGATGTTCCATTTCGTTTCTCCGCTCCTGGACCGCATCTTTGCTCCTTGGGCTCTCTGCGGCGATCAGAGGCAAGGCCATTCTTGTTCTTTGCTGTGGGAGGGAGCCACATGCTTTTGTGAGCTGCTCCCGCCGGGCCCTTAGCTTCAGGGGTCCTCGTTGGGCCGTTTCTCTGCCGTGAGCCAGGCTTGAATTGTGGTGGCGCAGTTTGGGGGCAGTTAGGCCGGTTCGAGGAGTTCCCCTAGCTTGGTGTTCTGGGCTTGTTGCCAGCAGCACTGGGGGCCGCCTGGTTCTGGAACACTTGGCAGGTCCTGGCCCCGACTGGGGGCCCACAGTGGATGCTCCCAAGCCACCTTGCCCGCATCTCTGTTGCTCCTCTTGCGTCTTGAAGCAGGCAGGGTCCTTTACCCTCGGCGGGGTCTCTGATGGGCAGGGGGCCGGGCCTCCGGGAAAGGGAGGGGGCTGCGCCAGCCCTGCCCGTGCCATCTCAGCCCGCGGGTGCAGCAGTAGCTTCTGCTCCAGCTTCTTGCAAGTGCACACGACTTGCACCAGCAAAGCCTCTGTCCCAGCGGACGAGGCGACCCGGCGTCCAGCCAGGCCCTCAGCCGTGCGGCGCCCACGGAGGGAAGCACGGCCGGCCCCACTCATGTGGCTCCTCCAGAACCGGGTCCCCATGGCCATGTTTAGACTTCCCTGAGCAAATATTTGCTGGGCCAGTCCAGTCTGGTCAAGAGGTGCACTCAGCAGCGGGGTGGGGGTGGGGGGCGGGTGGTGGCAGGGCAGCAGCTGCTCCCAGAGAGGGAGGACAGTGGGATGGCCTCCGAGGGAGGGACACGGCCACCCTCCCACCTGGAGTCCTCACATTCTCGCGGATGTGACCTGCCCCTCTGAGCTCCTCCAGCAAGGTCCGGGGGCTGCCCCTGCTGGACAGCAAGCTGACGGCAGGAGGGGTGAGGTTTGCCGGCTAATTCCCTGCGCTTAGGCCTCTGTGTGTGGGCGAGCGTGTCTCCCAGCGGGGTTAAGGAGAGATCGCCACTCCTCGGCTCTCCCTGGAATGCCTACTGTGTTCCAGGGACCGCGGGAGGTTCTGGGGCCACTGCCACGAATGGGACAGGCATGGGGGAGACCAGCAATCAATGAACAGCCATTGCGTGAGGATCCTGAGGGCAGAGAAAGGTGGGATGGGGAAGATTAACGAGGAGACCAGCCTCCATAGGGATGGTCATAGGTTTCTGAGCACCTGGCAAATATTTCAGCTGAGATCTGACTAGAAGTTATTCAAGCAAAGAGGGCAAAAAGTGTTCCAGGCAGAAGGGACAGCATGTACAAAGGCCCTGGGGTGGGAAGGAGTCTGACCTGTTTGAGGAGCCAAGAGAAGGCCAGTTTGGCCGGGACATAGCGATGAAAGGGGATGGAGTTTGAGAGCCTAGCAGGGGTCGGAGAGCCCTGAAGGCTCTGATGAGGGCTAGTTTTCGCCATCCAGGCTGTGGAAAATGAGGGGGCGTTTTAAGTGACGAGATCGGATTTGCAATGGATATGTGGGGTTGACCCGGGAAACGGTTCCAAGCATTCGGCCGAGAGGTGACAGGGGCCTGGACCTTAGATGTGCTCCTGGTGTCAGCTGAAGCGGAAGAATCTGAGAAATATTTAGGAGCTGGGGAAGGTTGCACGGGCGTGAGGCTCCTCTGGAAGAATTGGAGTGTGGCGCGGGGCAGCCTGTAAGTGCAACTCAGGTCCCAGCCCCTGTTCACCGTCTTCCCACCGCTGTCCCTTCCCCCTCACAGCTTCTCGCTGAACTCCGAGGGGGCCGAGAGGATGGCTACCGGGACGCCCACGTCCGACCGGGGTGACGCGGTGGAGATGGAGGACCCGGCGTGTCGCTTCCAGGTGCAGAAACACTCATGGGATGGGCTCCGCGACATCATCCATGGCAGCCGCAAGAACTCAGGCCTGATCGTCAACAAGGCCCCACACGACTTCCAGTTCGTGCAGAAGAGGGACGAGTCGGGCCCCCACTCGCACCGCCTCTACTACCTGGGTAAGCCCCAGGCTGCCCTGAGCGGGCCATGGTTCCAGGACAGCTGCTACCGGGTCCCCTGGTCCCCGGAGGTCAGCTGGTCCTCTCAGTTAGCAGGTCCAGAGAGAGAGGCCCGGCCCTGGGTGCCGTGCTGCCCACAGGTGACAGCTGTTTACAGTGAAGCTCTGGGCGAAGGTTCGGCGACGGAGTCAGTACCCCGGGGAGTGGAGCGGAGGGCAGTCCTGCCCGCCCGTGCTGCAGCCGGGCTGCGGTGCTCAGCTTGTTTCCAGACCTTAGCAGGGCCCGTGCCCTGAGTCAGCGCCCAGTCCCCGGGGCTGGGCTGGCCCCGTGAACACTAGGGCTCCCCCGGCAGCCGGCGTCGTGAGTAACTCCAGTAGGTGCTCGCCGTGGAGGGCTGTGTTAAGAAAGCTCAGGCTCACCAAAAGGCACCGAGGTTGCGTAACTGCGTCCGCCGTGCGCTAACCTCAGAGAGTGGTCCGCCATGCGTCTGCTGTCCCTGCCCGAGGTCCCTGGATGAGCGTGATCCTCGCGCATCACTTCGTGCTCCGGGCATGGGCCTGTGAGCAGCGCCATCTGCGGTGGCCCGGCCGAGGGAGGGCCTCCAGGGCGTGGGTTAGGCCTCACGCACACCTGTCACCTCAGCAGCTGGGCCAGCGCCTGGCTCCTGCCTGGTAGGTGGACGGTCGCCATCTGTGGAGCCCTGAAATGTTGCCCCCCTTTCCTGGGGGTCTCACAGGCTGGAGGGGAGTGTACTCCTTGGAAAATGGCATGACACGTGATTGATGGCCCACCCTCCGCACTCGCGACATCCAGGGCCACATCCTTCTCTGTGTCCCAGTCCCTGGGACAATGCCTGCCCCTGGTCAGGCCCTCAGTCAACACAAATGACAGAACCCATGACTGCAGGTGATTCCCTGCCTGAGGCTGACTCCACGCTAACGACCACGACGGTGGCCGAGATGGACGCCAGGGGGCTGTCCCCTGCCCACAGTTAGTGCAGCCCCTCTTTATAGAGACCCAGGGGGAGCCCAGATGGTGGTTGGCAAGCACAGCGTTCACAAGAGGAAGGATCTAGAACAGGGTCGGCAAGCCACAGCCGTATGTTTCTGGAAATCTAATTTTCCTGGCGCCTGGCCACACCGGTGTCCGTTTACGTACCATCGATGGCAGCTTTCGAGCGCAGTTGCGACAGAGTTCATGTGGTCCGCACAGCCAAAAGTATTTGCCATGCAGCCCTTTTCAGGAAAGAGTTTGCCAGCTCCAGCCTGGGGGAGGTTAGACCGTGGCGTATTCAGGTCACGCTCAGCCGAGGGAGAGCTTGCTCTTTGCACTGAAAGTGGCCGACACTCATGCTCTCTGGTGGCTGTTCCCTCTCTTATCTCCATGGCTCTGTGGCTTGCACAGCCCTTTCTCCCAGCACAGCCTTTGGCCGGCCACTCGCTCAAGTTCAGGTTGCCGCCCGGGTCAAGGTACTTTTATGAGTTTCTTGTGGCTGTTGGGTTACGGTTCACCAGCGACCCGGCGGCTTAAAACCGTGGACATTGCGTCTCTCGCATTCTGGAGACCACAAGGCCGAAACCCAGGTGTCGGCCGGGCCGCGCTCCCTCCGGAGGCTCCAGGGAACCGTTGGTCCCCGCCTCTCCCAGCTTCTGGGGGCCGCCGGCATCCCTTGGCTCATGGCCGCGTCCCTCCCATCTCTGCCTCCATGGTTACGTGGCCTCCTCCCCTTCTGTCTGTCACCTGATTGCATTTAGGGCCCGCTAGGGGTGTGGCCTGGCAGAGACCCCAAAACATTCCTGGAACAGCCCAGAGCTGTGCTGTCTCTTGGGGGGGTGTTGCTCCCCCTGGGGCCGATCCAGCCTGCCTCGCTCACTGCCCTTGGGGTACCATTGACCTCTCTTCATGCCGACTTCTTGGGGCGGGCCTCCCAGGAGTCCCCGAGTGTTGCTCATACTTCTTTGGCTAGCCCAGCCCCTGGGTGGGTGCTGGCTCAAAGCGTGCAGCCCGGCCCCTGCTTTGCCGGGGCCCCTGCCTCGGCTTGCCTTGCGGGGCACGTGGAGCAGTTGGCGGCCCCCCAGGGAAGGCTCGTGGATGCGCATGATGCAGCCTGACGCGAGCGGGACGGAGCAGAGAAGGGGATGTGCCAGCGTCTGTTGCCAGGAAGGCAGGATGGCAGCGGCTCGGGGTCCAGGGCTCAGACGGTGGCGGGAACCCTCCCATCTTGACTCTCCTGCTCCCCGCCGCAGATGGGCCTTGGGTCACACGGGGAGGGTGCAGGGCCCTGGGGGAGTCCCTTAGAGGGGAAAGCGAGACCTCTGTGTCTTGGTCCAGACCCAGAGTCACGTGCCCTGCAGGCCAGTCACCAAAGGCCACAGTGCACCGGGGTGAAAGGGCGCTTGCACAGGCCCGGGCCACCTGCCGGACCAGTGGGGGTGGGGGTGCTGTCCCCAAAGAGGGGGCGGAGCTGGTCAGAGATGGCAGGAGAGAGGCAGCCACAGCAGAAATCAGCAGCTGTCGTCGGCTGTCTCAGACCCCCGCTTCGCATGCTGAATGTCCCCGTCACAGGTGCCGAGAGCAGCTGAGCACGAGAATGTGCTGGCTGGGGCCGCGTGGTGTCATCACTTATTAATCAGCAGGGCGGTGAGGTGGCTCCCAGTGTCCTTGGCAAGGCCGCACTGTCGACTTCCTGTTTGGGAAGCCCTGGCTCTCCCAGAGAGCCCCGCGGCGGGGGCCGTCCAGAACACACTGCCTGGTGGGGAAGGAGCCAGCATGGCCACCCGCTCCCTCCCAGCCTGCCGTGCTGCCCCAGGCGCTGTTTTTAAAAATTGGGGTGTAATTCACATCCCATAAAATTCACTCCTGTAAAAGTGGACAACTCGCTGGTTTTTAGTATATTCACAGTACTGTGCGGCCATCGCCACTGTCTAATGCCCGAACATCCCATCACCCCAAAAGAGACCCCGTCCCCGTCAGCAGTCACCCCGCACCCTCTCCCCCAGCCCCTGGCAGCCACTGACCCACTTCCTGTCTCTGTGGATCTGCCTCTTCTGGATGTTTCATAGAAATGGAATCCCACACCTCCTCATTCTCGTCCCCACTTGTCGTGTGGGCTTGAGAAGGAGAAAGGCCCCATGGGTGGCCTGGATGGGCAGTGTCATGTCCATGCCTCCCCCTGGAAATGAGTGGGACCGAGGCAGCGTACGAGTCCTTCGAGATGGCGCTGTGCGCGTTCTTTCCCACGCCTCTCAGTTAACTTTGCATGGTCCCTGAATCTGTTTTCCAAGGAAACCTTATTAAGCTAATCTTTTTCTTTAAATCCGCTCTTCTTTTACTAACTGTCCTTCACGAGCAAACTTTATCCTCAGTGGAAAGCCCGAGTCGCTTGCCATAAGGAGAAGCTGCCCGTGAAAATAACTGTGAACAGAGCGGGTTGTCTCCATCAGCTCTGGCTCCCGCCGTTGTCACTCTTACCAGCGAGAGCCCGCTGGCGGAGGGCATGCGCAGAGGCCAGCTCCCGACCGGGTCTTCCTCCCGGGGAAGCTCGGCACTCAGGATCAGAGAGGGGTTCGTGCTCTCTGATCTGTCGTCAGCCCACGGCCCCTTCCTGGGCTGGCCAGTGCTGGAGGGTCGTGCGGGGGGCGCACTGACGTTATTAACACTAGGACCGCCATCCATCGAGTTAAAGACGCTGCCAGCTAGAGTATATGCCCTGAGTTTATTTGCCGCTAAGAACACCAGAGGGGCCAGCCCCGTGGCCGAGTGGTTAAGTTGGCGCACTCTGCTACGGCCACCTGGGGTTTCGCCAGTTTGGATCCCGGGCGCGGACATGGCAGCGCTCATCAAGCCATGCTGAGGTGGCATCCCACATGCCACAACCAGCAGGACCACAACTATAGTGTACAGCTGTGTACTGGGGGGCTTTGGGGAGAAGAAGAAAAAAAGAAGATTGGCAACAGTTGTTAGCTCAGGTGCCAATCTTAAAAAAAAAAAAAGAGCGTGACAGCGCCCTCGAGAGCAAGACCCGTCTTGACCTTAGAGACGTAGGATGTGAAAAACCGTGGCTTGCTGTGGAGGTGCTGCAGCTCCCGAGTGACAGCCTGGGCCGTGCTGAGGGTCTGTGCCCCTTACCCCAGTGAATCCTCGCGGGTCCTCAGTAGCTCACAGCTCCTGTCATCTCATGGGGAAGGGTAGATCAGATCAGTGGTTCTCAGTCGGGGCCGCCCTGCCCCCAGGCACAGTGGGCCATGTCTGGGGACATCTGTGGCTGTCACACTGGGAGCTCCTGGCATCGGGTGGTTGGGGCCAGGGATGCTGCTCAGCCCCCCCCCCCCGATACAGCGCCCAGGACGGCCCCCCAGAGAGCAACCCGGCCCCGAGGTCCACAGGGTGCAGGAAGGAGATGCTGGGTCAGACGCACATTTCCCGATTCCTTTTCACGCTTTGCCCGCCTCCTAGATTGAGTCCTGGCCTTTGCAAAAACCTTTCGTAGAGAGGGACACTCGGGGCCAGAGCCTGACCGGTTGAGAGCTGGGTGACCCTGACTTTTTCTTCTGTCGCGCGCCGTTTCTTCGTCATTTAGGCCGAGACCCTCAGCCGGACCTCTCAGAGCTGGAGGACTCTGTTACTGCTGCTGACGCCCTGAATCCCGGGTCCGGAGCTTATCTGGCGGGTGGGCTGTGCCGCCAGCCCGGCAGAATGACGTAGAAGCAGCGGGAGCCCGAGTCGTGGCCTGAGACCGCCGCCACGCCCCTGTCCCCGTCCTGGGCCGAGTCACCCACACCGGTTTTTGTCTCTTCCCCGAAGGGATGCCCTACGGCAGCCGAGAGAACTCCCTGCTCTACTCTGAGATTCCCAAGAAGGTCCGGAAGGAGGCCCTGCTCCTCCTGTCCTGGAAGCAGATGCTGGATCACTTCCAGGTGAGCGCCCAGGGGGGCCTGCCAGGGGCGAGGGGGGTGGGCACGAGGCCGCTAGGTCAGGTGGCGCCCGATTTCCAGGCACCCTCAACCGCCGAGGGCCCTGGCCCGCCACGCGGTCACCGCAGCGCCCGCAGAGGAGAGCATCCAGCTCTGTCCCTGTGCGACGCACCCTCCCCTCCCCAGTCTGCGCTCCAGCCCCAGAGCACAGGTGTCCGCGAGAACTCTTCTCAGGAGCCTCTCTTCCCTGTAAATGCCTCGCCGAAGGCCTGCAAGTGGCTTGGGCGAGGCCCTTGTCTGGAGGCTTGGCGAGTAATTAATGTCTTCCACAGTCGGCTTTCTTCTGGGGAGAAGATGCCAAGTGAGGGACCCGAGTGCCTTTGGTGTTAGTTTATTTGGGTTTCTTTTTGGTTGTAAAAGTAATATAACAACACCAGGGGGTGGGGGGTGACATGACACACTCTGAATTTCCCCATGCCCACACAGTAGCTGTCCCGTATAGCCCCCACGCCGACCAACTCAGGTGTACGTAGCTTGCGTCACGGCATGGGGGTAATTTTGCCTTGGATTCTGTCTTTAAGAACGTATTGTGCCAGCCCTGATGGCCTAGTGGTTAAAGTCTGGCGCTTTCGCCACCTCGGCAGCCCGGGTTCGCTTCATGGTCGTGGAACCACACGGCCTTCTGTCAGTAGCCATGCTGTGGTGGCGGCTTGCACAGAAGAAGTAGAAAGACTTACAACCAGGATGCATGACCATGCACTGGGGCCTTGGGGAAAAGGAAAAAACGTATTAACATTCCTCCGAATCTCTACGTCGTCTTCAGAATCCTCCTTGGGACAGCTGTGGGGTGCCCACAATAGTTCACCTGCCCGGACCCCCTCCCCGCCCAGGCCTGGCGTCTGGGGGGTCAGGTGGTCCTGAATTTGCCCCGTCTCCCACCTGCGCAGAAAGCAGGGACGTGTGGCATTGGGGGGTTCAGACAGGATATTCTCAGAAGTGGGCTGAGAGTGGGCAGGAAGAGAGGGGTCTGTAGGATTGGCACTGGGACCAGGGATGAGCACTCCGGCGGTGTCCCTCTGTGCCCTGTGTCTGCCTCAGAGAGATTCCCTGGGGAAATGTGCGCCTGGGCAGGTGCAGAGACGGGGCTGAGAAGGGGGGAGCTCCAGGTGAGCCCCGGACACCCCGTCAGCCGGGCCTGTTATTCCAAGCCCACTGGGCCCCCTCACGGCCTCCGGGCCGGGGCACCCCTCTGGCCACCCGCTTGGGGTTCTGCTGCCCGTCCTGCTCAGCACGTCTCTGCTCATCAGAAAGTTCTCTCTGGCGTGGACCAAAGTTGGATGGTCAGATTCCTCCCGGGAGGCGCAGGCCGGAGGATCTGTGCCCGGGGTGCCAGGGCCTCCAGCAGCTGACGCCGCTCCCGTCTGTGTGTCCCCAGGCCACGCCCCACCACGGGGTCTACTCGCGGGAGGAGGAGCTGCTGCGGGAGCGGAAGCGCCTGGGGGTCTTCGGCATCACCTCGTACGACTTCCACAGCGACAGCGGCCTCTTCCTCTTCCAGGCCAGCAACAGCCTCTTCCACTGCCGGGATGGGGGCAAAAACGGCTTTATGGTGAGCCCCGCGCCCTGGCTGGGGCGGGCGGCCGGGCGGGGGCCTGCCCCCCTGAGCCGGGTCTGTCTGTCCCCAGGTGTCCCCCATGAAGCCGCTGGAAATCAAGACCCAGTGTTCGGGGCCCAGGATGGACCCCAAGATCTGCCGCGCCGACCCCGCCTTCTTCTCCTTCATCAACAACAGCGACCTGTGGGTGGCCAACCTCGAGACGGGCGAGGAGCGGCGGCTGACCTTCTGCCACCGAGGTGAGGCGGGCGGGGGGCCCTGTGGTCTTGGCCGGGGCGCATGGGAGCCTGTATCCCTGGGTGCCATCTCTCGGGTCGGGCCAGCACTTCCTGTGGACGGCCGTCCTAGCTGCCAGTCCAGCTTCTAGAAAGTTCTCTCCCCCCAGTCCACTCCCTGTACTGCCTAGCACCTCCCTGGACCACGCTCTCACTGGTCACCCACCCTGGGCCCTCTGCTGGCTCGCAGGAAGTCCCGCCACCTGGTGTGTGGTTTTTCTCTGCATGTATCAGCCCGCCTACCCTGCCAGGTGCAGACATCTGTGAGCTCTGCCGCTCCCGGCCTCGGAGCCCGGATCCCTGCCCCCGTCCCGCCCTTCAGCCCTGGCGCCCTCTGCACCTGAGCTGCTCGTCTGGGGGCAGCTCAGACACTGGCCGTGTCCAGAGACAGCTGGCTTCAGAGCTCCTGGCCTCGAGTGGGTGGGGGCCGGGGATGCTGCTCAACCCCCCACAGTGCCCAGGATGGCCCCCCATAGAGAACGTTCTGGCCCCAAATGTCAGCAGCACCGAGTGGGAGAAGCCCTGGCCTGCCCTCCACTCAACTCCTCACCTTTCGCTGGCTCTCCCCCCCACCCCAGGGTTATCCAGTGTCCTCGACGACCCCAAGTCTGCGGGCGTGGCGACCTTCGTCATCCAGGAGGAGTTCGACCGCTTCACTGGCTACTGGTGGTGCCCCACGGCCTCCTGGGAGGGTGAGTTCCTCTCCGTTTTGTAAAATGCGTCTGCACGCACTCCTTTGGTTAACAGAATCAGTCCGTCTTTCTGCTCTTTGCTCTTAAAGTAAACCTCACAACCTTTCCCTCGATACCAGAGTCTTGGTCCACCGGGGCTGCTCCAACACGGTGCCTTAGACACAGCAGAGCTTTCTTCCCCACGGTTCTGGAGGCTAGAAGTCCAGGGTCGACCCCCACCCCGGAGGATGGTCCTGCCGCATGCCCACAGCGCTCAGGACCAAAAGTCCTGCCGTAGAGAGAGTTCCAGCTCTGAGAGCCGAGTTGAAGCTTCGGGTATCTTAAATCTTGATGGGTTTCGCCAACAGTGTCTGAAAGCAGCCAGCTGGGCGGGTCCTTTTGTGCCTGTTTCTCTGCCCGATGCCTGGAGTGGGGGCATCTGATTCCCTCCCCCGCCTTCAGTCAAGCAGAATCCCTCTTCTGAGCCTGGGGAGCTGTTTCCGGGGAGGCGCCAGTAGCGTCTGAGCCTCTGCTGCGGGAGCAGCCGTGGAAGCGGGGTCTCCTTGTTCACAGGCGCCCCGCCAAGCGTCCCCCCGCCCCGGGCTTGGCGTGGGCCAGGCCTCGCGGCTAGTTGACTTATCTGTGGCCTGAGCGCTGACTTCTGCGTGTTTCAGAAGAACACGTGGCCGCAAAAGCCGAGCTTTCTGGGGGAGCTCCCCGACCCCCTGCCGCCTGGGCGGGGTCTTGGCGATGCCCTGTGCGCCCCAGCGCTCCATGTCCCTGGGAACGGGGCCCAGACCAGGCGTTAGCGTCTTGGGTCAGGTCGTGCAGCCTGTGGCTCCTTGCGGGCCTGAATAAGTGGCCATCCCTCCCTTCGATTTCCCAGCTTGTAAAATGAGGTTGTTGCCAAGATCAGGGTCTCTCGCCCTGTGGACGCTGGGGCCAGAGCGTTCTCTGGGGGCCGTCCTGGGCACTGTGGGGCACTGAGCAGCATGGCTGACCCCTATCCTCTCAATATGCCACTTGAGTTGTGACAACCACAGATGTCTCCAGACATCGCCACGTGTCCTGGGAAGCACAGAATGGCCCGGTTGAGATCCACGGGCCTAGATGACGTCAAAGGTCCTAACTCTGGTGCTCTGTAGCGGCTCAAAACCCCCTTAATAAAGGCCCCGAGAGCTGCGCCAGAGGGCTGCTCATCCCTTGTGGAGTGGCCCCCTCCTCACACTGCGCCCCGGGGCTGTCACAGTGTCTTGCACTGACCATGCCGACCCCAGAGGGCCCTTCCTGGCCCACACACTCAGCCCCTGAATGACCCATGCCCAGCGGATGGTCCCGGCCACTGAATTTGAATTTGAACCACGACCCTGCCCCTCCCACCTGACGGCCTCAGGCCAGCCCCTCAGCCCCAGGGCCTCCACACAGCCCCACAAAGCAGGCGTGGACATGGCCGGCCTGCGGGCAGCGTGGGGCTTGGCCAAGGTCCCCGGTCGGGATGATTCTGGAGACGTCGTTGGCCAGTCGGGGTGAGTGTGAGGTGAGGGCACAGGAAGCAGCCGATCGAGAGCCTTCGGCAGCTGAGGAAGGAAAGGGCTTGTTCAGGAAGGAGCAGCCGTGGGCTCCGTCCCGTGACGTCAGCATCGCCAGTGCCACACTCCCTGCCAGGCTGTCCCCGCCCGGTGATTCACGTGTTTCTCATAGCGGCTTTCGTTTTGCCTTTCTTGAGCCCTATCTTAGTTTGCTCGCTTGGCCATAACAAAGTCCCGCAGACCCGGGGCTTCAACGACACGTTTATTTCCTTCCGGTGCTGGAGGCTGGAGTCCGAGATGGAGGAGTCGGCAGGGCTGGCTTCTCCTGAGGCCTCTCTCCTGGGTGTGTAGATGTAGTCTCCTCCCTGTGTCCTCAGTGGTCCCCCTCTAAGCATCTGGGTCCTCATCTCTTCTTCCTGTAAGGACATCAGTCCTGTTGGATCAGGGCCCACCCTAATGGCCTCAGTTTAACTTAATCACCTCTTTAAAGACCCGTCTCTAAGTACCGTCACGGTCTAAGGTCCTGGGGTTAGGGCTTCAGCAGGGACCGTTCAGCCCAGAACATCCCATGTGGGCTCCTCGCCATTTTGTGCTGGGAATAGCTGAGTTCTCGTGCCTGTTGCACAGTAAGGAAACTGAGGCCCCGAGAGGGGACGTGACCGGCTTAAGGGCTAAACGGCAGAGCCAGGGTTCTGACCCCAGGGCTCCCACTCTTGTCCGGGCTCAGCGTGGGAGAGCGGAGTCCCCCTGCATGAGGAGGGGGCGGAGGGGCAGCGGGGACTCCGGGACCCTCAGCAGCCCCCCGCCACCTGCCAGGTCCCGAAGGCCACAAGACGCTGCGCATCCTCTACGAGGAGGTGGATGAGTCGGAGGTGGAGATCATACACGTGCCCTCCCCGGCTCTGGAGGAGAGGAAGACAGACTCCTACCGCTACCCCAGGACAGGTGAGGGCCGGTGTGGCGGGCGGGCGGGCCGGCGGCGGCTGAGGCCTCCCCGAGCACGGCGCACCGGCCAGGCCGGGCCCACAGGGCCCAGGGAAGCAGGCTGGGTGCAGGGGCCAGAGCAGGACCTGCACCGCCATCAGTGTGGCCAGCTTTCTGCCTCGAGGCCCACGAGACCCCAAGGTCTCCCCACGGGATATCCACGGCCTGTGAGAATGGACTCGAGTTTGCCTGTTTGTCGGGAGAAGCTAGAAATCCAGACTCATCTGCGTTATCTCCCAATGCTTAAATAGTGCTCGAATTATTTAAAAACACAGTAGGGACCAGCCTGGTAGCATAGTGGTTAGGTTTGCATGTACCGCTTCGGTGGTTTGGGTTCGCAGGTTTGGATCCTGGGCATGGGCCTAGCCCTGCTCATCAAGCCACACTGTGGTGGCATCCCACGTAAAATAGGGGAAGATAGGCACAGATGTTAGCTCAGGGCCAATCTTCCTCACCACAAAAAAAAAACAAAAAAAAAAAACCTAAACCACACAAAATACACATTCAGGCCTTCAGGCCTCCCACTCGTGACCTTTCTGGAAGCATATAGAAGACGCGCCCTTGCTAACTTAGCACTACCACGTGCCTGCTCTACAGAGCCTTCCCAGAGGACATTTCCGATCCCAGGGCAATGGGGAAGGTCGCTCTTTTCCCCCGTTTGACAGATGGGAAAGTGAGCCTCGGAGATGTGACCTGCCCAGGGCCGCTAGAGCCGTGAGGGCGGGGTTGAGATTCGTCGTAGCAGTTACTGGAGCCTGACGCAGCGCTCCTCCGGGACGTGGGTCTTGGACGCCGCCTGCCTCCAGAAGGCTCGGGCCCAGCTGGGTCTCGTGGACGTGTGCCACCTTCCTGCCCCCTTAGTCGTTTTATTATGGTTGTGTCCCCTCTTTACAACCAGCTTTCAAACTCTCCAAAGGCAGGACGGCGTCCTCCTCCCACTCGCGTCTCCCATGGCGTGCCCCCCAGCACAGGGTCTGGCCTCTGTTCTAAAACCATAAAGGTGGTTGTCATGTCACTGTGAGGAGCGAGTCAGAGCCCAAAGTCAGAAAGTCTGCCCGAGGGACACTGTGCCTGGTCCAGACAGGGTGACATGTCCACAGAGAGGACCTTGGACGGCCCCCCATGCCATTGTGGCACCTCGCAGTGGGCCCACCCCCCCCCCGCAGCCTCTGCCCCACACACCTGCTGTCAGCCCATGCAGGCGACAGCTGCCAGGCTCACCTTGCCCTCGTTTCCGCAGGCAGCAAGAATCCCAAGATTGCCTTGAAGCTGGCCGAGTTTCAGACGGACGGTCAGGGCAAGGTATGTGTGGCTGGCACCCCCGGGGAAGCTTCCAGATGCCAAGAGGAGGGGCCGGGGTGTGTGTGGGAGACAGTCGGGTGGCACCAGCAGGCCGCTCGCCCCCTTCCCAGGGACAGGTGACCCCCTTGGCCCGCTGCACCCAGAAAGGCACTACCCAGAGCCTCCGTCTGTGAAACCGGGAGCGGTGGGCGTGGCCTTCTGTCCCTCCAGGGGTCACGCGGCACGAGGAGTGATGCCAACGAGCAAGCCTTGACAGAGGTCCCGCTGGGATCAGGCTGTGGCCTTCTCAGTCCTGCGGGGGGCGGTGACTTGGAGGTCCGGGCCTCTCTTTGGGCTCCCAGAAGAGAGAGCTCTGTGGGACAGCTGTCCGAGGGACCCCAGCCTCAGACTGGGCTGCCCTCACCCCAGCGTTTGGCACAGATCCTCACGTATCACTTTCCCAGACCCATCCGTGTCTGGCTCATTCTTTGTCACCTGGTCAGCATCAAGGACAAGGGTCCTCATCCCCCAGGGAGTCAGGACCCCACAGCCAGGAGGGCAAAAGAGGCTGCAGCCAAGAAGGCAGCTGGCCGTGGGGGCGCCAGGTGTCAAAGGGAAGCACCCCCCACGTCAGGGATTCGAGAGCTCCCGCAGACCGAGGGAGCCCGGGCCTAGTTTGGTCCAAACGCCTTCCTGTGTAACGTTCCAGAAAAAACCATAAGATAAACTATACTCGTTTGCATAATTTGGGGGTTGGTTTTTTGGGGGGCACGCTTAGGCCATGACCAAACCCCTTTTCCACTCATGACCAGAACATTCTGGCAGATTGAGCAGGGATCTGCCGTCAGCGGCTTTGCTGAGCTCCCGCAGTGTTTGAAAGGGTGCCTGGCCCCATCAGACGAGCAGGGTCCTGCGGTGGGCGTGAGGTGTGCCAGCTGAGCAGCAGCCAGGGCACGTGGGAGTGGCGGCCTGCTCGGCTGCGGGATGTCCCAAGGCCCCGCCTGCCGTCTCCCCTCCATCCTACCCGGCAGATGCTGTGCCTGCCCCCTGTAGGCTCAAGGAGGCCGCGGCGTCCGGGGACCACGTCTTGCCCGTGGCCACCTGGCTCTGCCCTGACCGCCCCGGCCAGCACCCTCAGTTTCCAGCCAGTCGGCTGCCCTAGCAAAGTACCACAGACGGGGCGGTTCACGCCACAGAAGTTTCTTCTCTCCCAGTTCTGGAGGCTGAGGGTCTGAAATCAAGGTGTCGTCCGGCTGGTTCCTTCGGAGGCCGTGAGGGAAGGGGCTGTTCCAGGCCTGTCTCCTTGGCTCATAGCCGGCCATTTCTCCTTGTGTCTTGGCACGAGGCCTTCTCTCCGTCTGTGGCGTCTGTGTCCACATTTCCCCCTTTTATAAGGACAGTCCTGTCAGATTGGGCCCACCGTACTCCGGTATGATCTCATCTTAACTGATTTCGTCTGCAGCCACCCTCTTTCCAATAAGGCCCCACTCTGGGGTGGCGGGGGTCAGGACTTCAACGTACGGATCTGGGAGGGGCCACCTTGCACCCCTAACAGTGGCCCAGGCAGCACGTGGTCAGGCCGGAGGGTGACCGAGTCTGCTTCCCCTTAGATCATCTCGACCCAGGAGAAGGAGCTGGTGCAGCCCTTCGGCACGCTGTTCCCAAAGGTGGAGTACATCGCGAGGGCCGGCTGGACCCGCGACGGCAAATAGTGAGTGCCCCATCGGATACAATCCGAGCCATTCCCAGCCGGGGCCTGGGGACCCAGGGGTGAGAAACACGGGACACCGAATAGAAGGGTCCGCTTTTCACTCACTTTCCACCCCTGCTGCCCGCAGCAAGGACAGAAATCTCCAGGTCAGGGCCCCCCACCACCATCCGCGAGCCACGTCCAGCGCACTGCCCATTTTCATGGGGCCCACGAGCCAAGAATGGCTTTTATGTCTTTAAACGATGGGGGGGAGAAATCCAAAGAAGAACGTTTCATCACATGTGAACACGATATGAAATCCCCATTTCAGCGTCCATGAGTCACGTTTCACGGGCACATGGCCTCGCACAGCTAGACTCGTTCGGTTACGGGTCACCCCTGCCGCCTTTGTGCCACCCGCCAGCGTTGAGTAGTTTTGAACAAAACCGTGTGGCCCACAAAGCCGAGATGTCTGCTCGCTGGCCCCTTGACAGAAAAAGGTGCCTTCAGCGCTCCAGACACCTGCCAGGCCCCTTCCCCACAGAGACGGCCAGGCTCAGCCCAGCACCGCAGCCGGCCGCGGGCTCACGCTCGAATCCACATCTCCTCTCTGGTTTGGTTTTCACTGTTCTGTCTTTATGCTTTTTTTTGGCATTTGTACTGCCGACAGGACTCCATTTAAAATACATTTAGGGGGCCGGCCCTGTGGCGTAGCGGTTAAGTTTGCAGGCTCCACTTCGGTGGCCCAGGTTTCGCAGATCCTGGGCGCAGACCTACACCACTCTTCAAGCTATGCTGTGGTGGTGTCCCACATACAAAATGGAGAAAAACAGGCTACAGATGTTAGCTCAGGGCCAATCTTCCTCACCAAAAAAAACAGAAACAAAAAAAATACATCTAAGTTAAAAAATTGTCCATTTCCAACCAAGTATGAAATACAGGATAGTATGCACAGGCTGAGAATTTGGCGGAAATGATGAAGTTTGTGAAACGCCGTCCTAAGTCTTAAAGATGTGAGACATTTCCAGAACAGGCGCCATGATCCGTGGTCAGGCATAGGCGAAGTCAGCAAAGAGGTGGCTTCCAGCACCCAGCTTGCCTCCGATGGCCCCTGAGGCCTCAGGCTTCTCTCTCTCCTCGCCCTCTCAGTGCCTGGGCCATGTTCCTGGACCGGCCCCAGCAGCGACTCCAGCTGGTCCTCCTCCCCCCGGCCCTGTTCATCCCCACCACCCAGGACGAGGAGCAGCGGGCGGCCTTCGCCAGAGCCGTGCCCAGGGACGTGCAGCCCTACGTGGTGTACGAGGAGGTCACCGACGTGTGGATCAACGTAAGGGCAGGGAGGTGCCGGCGGTGCAGCCCGCCTGGGCCCCCAGGTCCCCAGCTGGGCAGAAGCCAGCGAGGGGCTGAGTTGGCCCCCGAGGGGAGAAGTGAGCTCGGGCGGCGGGGAGAGTCTGCGGAGTTTCCCTGCCACCACAGCCCGGCCCCCTGTCGGAGCGTCCCCCTCGGGCGGGGCGGGGCGGGGCGCCGTGTTTCTGCCCCCGCCTTCTGACGCGTCTTCTGTCTTCTGCCCGGACAGGTTCACGACATCTTCTATCCCTTCCCCCAGTCAGAGGGAGAAGACGAGCTCTGCTTCCTCCGCGCCAACGAGTGCAAGACGGGCTTCTGCCACCTGTACAAGGTCACCGCCATTCTCAAGCCCCACGGCTACGACTGGACCCAGCCCTTCAGCCCCGGGGAAGGTGAGCAAAGCCTGACTCAGGCCGTGGCACGTCCAGTCATCCGTCTGTGGCTCAGTGCACTGTTTGTTCATGGACCCCTCCCCGTGGCCGGGCGCGCCCCGCAAGGGAGGGGCGCGATGAGTAAGACGGCCGCCCTTCGTGCAAATCACTCACGCTCCGGCAGGGGTTCCACCAGCAGGCTCTTCGTTCAGTCACTCCCCAGTGTTTACTCAGCAGCTATACGTGCCAGGCCCTTTGCACGCCAGGCATCGGCCATCTCCAGCCCGCAGGTCAGGTCCGGCCCCCCCCCCAGTTTTGTAAATAAAGTTTTATTGGCACACGGTCATGCCCATTCACTTTTGTATCGTCTGTGGCTGTTTTCCTGCCACGACGGCAGTGTTGAGTAGTGTGACGGGCAGTGTTGAGTAGTGTGACGGAAAGCTGAAAATATTTGGTATCTGGCCCTTTATGGGAAAAGTCACCAAGCCCTGCTCTTGGTGCTGGGAATGTCATTGTACAAAGAGAAAAGGAAAACCGTGCTCTAGCTTAGGAGATAGGCAGTAATCCCCAAACAAGGAAGGATACTGTGTCGGGAGCGGTGATCACGGAGAAGGAAAATGCTGCAGGGTGAGAGATTAGAGAGGGAGCGCCTTCTTTCTAGAAGTGGAGACCAGGAGGGCATCTCTGGATAATGTGCCATTGAGCAGAGACCTGGAGGAGGTGGCAGAGGTAGCCACACAGAGCACTCTAGGCTGTGGGGCAGCTTATGCAAAGGCCCTGGGGCAGACCCGGGCCTGGCGTGTGGAAGGAACAGCGAGGAGGCCCACATAGGAGGAGCAGAGGGCACAAGGGGGAAAGAGGAAGGAGGGAGGGCAGGGAGGGGACGTGGCCCTTCTGGGCCACAGTGAGGGCTTGGGCTTCTGCCACTGATCTTATATCTGATTCCCCTGGTTGCTCTGTGGAGCGTAGCCTGAGAGGTGAGGAGAGGTGACAGGACCGGGTCACGGCTGTGGCAGTGTGCCCTGGGTGGATTTGACTCTGGGTGGACGTTGACACTGTCAGCGTCTTGCTTTTCAGCTGGTCTGTCTGTCAGACTGCACTGTCACCCGCTAACCTTGGGAGATTCCCCTTGGAAAATCCTCGTTTCCGCCTCTGGAAATGGGCCTTTTGCCTGGTGGTCGTCGAGCAGAACTCGCAGCGGGTGCCCCTCAGGGGCCTCCTGCCTGTGCGGTGGGCACCCGCGGTCTCCCATCCACTCTGCTCGGGGCCACCCGCAGCCCCAGCTCGCCCTTCCTGTCACGTGGCTCGCACCTGCTAGGCGGCAGTTGAACAGATGAGCAGGAGGAGTGAGGCCCTTCAAGGAGCCTGGGGCCTGGGCGAGCAGCAGGGACCGAGCTGGCAGGAGGAGGGGTCAGGGGGCACGGGGGCTTTCGCAGTGGAGGGCCCTGCTACGGAGGGCCGGCAGGCGTGAGCAGCGTGGGCTTGAATCCAGACGGCCAGAGAGACTGGAGCAGGAGGGAGCGGAGGCCTCAGAGGAGGCGCTGCGAGGCAGGGCAGCCAGCCAGGCGGAGCCCTTGCCCAGGCCTCACAGGGACAGCGGGAGAACTGGGGGGCCCGCCCGGCCGAGGATGCAGAGGCTGGAGGCCGGTAGTTGGTGAATCCCCCAGGGGCCCCGACGCGGGCGTGTGCAGCTCAGCTCCCCACCCCGCGCCTTCCTCCACGGGCCCGACAGAGCGGCCGGCCAAGGTTTGAAGGGGCAGAAAGCCGGCCATGTCCAGCCTCCGCTGGAGGGAGGGAGGGACACAGGAAAAGCACCTGGCCCTCCTGGATCTTGGTGTGACATGTCGCTTGGCCCGCGTCGCTGCCCCAGAAGTTTGTGTCTGCCCACGCTTGGTTATTTGCACACAGGCATTTTCCCTCCCTGGATAAACGTTTGCCAAAATTTGCTTTAGACCCAAAAGGATGCGAAAGAAGCATTAGCCATCGGTTCTGAACTGTCTTCTCAATTTCTAATACACGCCAACAAACATCCCTTATCGTCATTTCCCTGTGAAAAGTCAAAGAGCTCCACCCCGGAGACCTATCGTAAAATGCAGCTGAGCCTGCGCTCGCCTCAAGCGTTTCAGTCAAGGTCTGGTCCTCCAGGATCCCAGCACGCCCTATGCGGTCACTGGTCCAGGGCCCGGAGCGGGCGGTTTGGCCTGCAGGGGGTCTAGAATTGGGCGCTTCGGATAAAAATGCAGCTTCCTGGTTTGTCTTGGGAAATGCTGGGCCTCCCGTCAATGTGGTAGGAGCTCCCCCAGCCCCCTCGGCCCGTGTCCTGGGTCTGCCCTGTCTCAGACTCAGCGTCGACCCCCGGGCCTGGGACGTGTGGGCCCCGTGACGGGTTTGTGCAGGTGGAGTTTTTCTCGGTGCCTTGGGGTCCGTGTCGCAGCCTCCTGGATCCCCTGTCATCTCTCTGCCTTTCTTTACTTCCAGATGAATTTAAATGCCCCATCAAGGAGGAGGTCGCGCTGACCAGCGGTGAATGGGAGGTGTTGGCGAGGCACGGCTCCAAGGTACCGGGGTCTCCATGCACACTTGTACACACACAGACATGCACACACACACATGCTCCCTACCCCCCACCCCCAGATCCCTCGAGTCTGTGCCCTCTCTATTCCCTCCCGGCCACTCCTTCCTCCTGCTCTGCTCCCTTGGGGCCACCGGGGCTGTTGTCCCCACCAGCGGGAGACTCGCTGGGTCCAGGACTCAGGGACTGTTGTGAGCGCCCATTGTTGGATCCTGGTGGGAGGGGCCTGGCCCACGCTCAGTGCCACCTGGGGTAGCCACTTAGCCTCCTTCCGCTCCACCAGTTTGTGGGACAGTCCTGGTGCCACCATGGCCTTGCCCTGTGGCTCCTGACCTGAGCCCAGCCCGACGCCTGCCCCTGGGGGCATCGGGAACAAAAGACACAGCTGCAAGGACAGAGGCCGACCTTCCACTCCCCCAAAGGCACCATCGCAAACACGTGCCGAGACTTTGCCTCTGACCACGGTGTCTTCACCAGGGTCCAGGTGTACAGAACTCCCGATTTTACAGCGGGATCCCTCCATCAGACATCCCGGATCCCTACCTCACACCAGCACCCAAAGCTTAGATGTAAAGAGCGAAACCATACAAGCGACGAGGAGGGGGTGGAGGCACTCTTCGAGTCCAGAGGTGGGGGCAGCAGCGTGCTGCACAGGGGCAGGAGACGGGCCAGGCACCCCAGTGCAGCCCGCTCGGGGCAGACATGGCTTCTACCACCACGTCAGCGTGTGGCTCGTCTGACCCGGCAGCCCCAGTTGTAGGCGAGCACCCTCTGAGGTCATCCCAGGGCACATCCGAGATGTCAGCACACAGACATCACTTTGTCTTGTCAAGTTGGCAAACCTTGCAGCTGGTCTGATCTGCTGGAGTTCATGTTCACGTCTTTGTGTGCGAGGCGAGAGCAGAAGGCTGGCCACCCACGGGAGAAAGGATGGCTCTGCCCTGGTTGCAGCCAGTCCTGCCGGAGGCGCCCCCAGCTCGCAGCCCGGCTCTGCCCCGCCCCAGCCTCTTCCTCTGCAAAGAGAACCATCAGGTGGTTCTCGTCCTCTCATCTTCACAGCAGGGTCTCTCCCCCCGCCACTGCCCCGCTTCGGGTCTACGTCCTCTGCGGGGGGCCGTCCTGGGCTCTGTGGGGGGTTGAACAGCATCCCCAGCCCCCACCTGCTCAATGCCAGGACCACCTCAGCCCCGCCCCAGGCGTGCCAACCACAAATGACTCCAGAGGTTGCCAAACGTCCCCTGGGGGGCAGAATTGCCCCTTGAGGACTCTGTTTTCAGTACTTGGAGCCCTCGGCATTCGTAGCCTCTGGCACACACGCACGCCGGCATGAAAACCTTTCTCTGTCATCGTGAGTGTTTTACTGTTGGCACACCTTATCTTTTTCCCTAAGAAAAAAAGCAGCAGCAGCATTTTAAAAAGTGAAAAGGGGAAGCGTGGCCCTCTGCTGTCCCCGTGTGCTGCTGTGCGCGGTCTGCCTTCGAGGTGGCCGTGCTGGTGGCGGGAGCGGCCCTGACCTGCCCTGCTGTCTTGGCGCCCCCACCCCCGTGAAGGCCCCTCGGCCTCGGGGGTCCCACTCCCTGGAGGACACCTCTCTCCCCCCTTGTTCATCGTGTCTCGTCCTTGTGACAGAACTGGTGCGTGACTACATGTGGTTGGGGTTTTCCAATGACATTCTCGACTTTTACAAAACCTGCATTTATTTGAAGAGTTTGGTGACAACAAACACGTTGGCGTTTGTTGTGAAAATTGACTAGTTCTAGATAAGACTGAAGTCGGAATCCCCTCCATCCTCACCCCGGGCCGCGTCGCCTCTACCCCTCCTGGGAAGCGACCGTGGGGGCATGTCACTGCCAGCTGTCTTATTTCCACGCGTCTCCATGGGACGCATATGGCACCGTTGTTTTAGGGGATTTGTAGGGGTTTTTGAAAATGGTTTTGTGTGGCCACAGAATTGTGCCATAATTAAGGAACCAATCACCCCACTCCAAGGGATGGGCCGACCCCACTCAGGACCAGGGCTGGTGGCTGGCGTGCCAAGGGCCCAGGACGGCCCCTCCCTCAGCCTCTGTCCCAGGCCCCGCGCCCTCAGCCCCCCACTCGAGGCTCCAGGCAGCCTGGGAGGAGCCGTGTGGGGCCAGAGTTCTGATTCCAAGTCACAGTCGAGGACGTACAGCCAGCTGGGCTCTCTCGGGGTCTGCTGCTGCCCCACAGGGTGTGAGAAGCACCTCTCTCCCAGACAGTTCTCCAGCCTGCAGGCTAAAGCTATCCTGGGGGAGGACGGGTCCCTTGACGCAGCACGCGGGCCCTTCCGGAGGGGCAGCAAGGGGGACCAGGACCCCTCCCCTGGGCGTCAGCTGCCTCCCGCAGCCACCGTGGGAAGGGAGGCACGGGCAGCCTGGGGCCGTGTCACGAGGCGTCTGTGCCCCCGCAGATCTGGGTCAACGAGGAGACGAAGCTGGTGTACTTCCAGGGCACGAAGGACACGCCCCTGGAGCACCACCTCTACGTGGTCAGCTACGAGTCGGCTGGCGAGGTCGTGCGCCTCACCACGCCCGGCTTCTCCCACAGCTGCTCCATGAGCCAGGTGGGTGTTTCCCCGACAGCGCCGGCCCCGCACTCACCCTTCACCTCTTGGAACATTCTAGAACGTCAGGCAGCAGCCGTGCACAGGGCCACTCCCAGTCCAGGGCGAGCATCTGGTGGCAGGCTGCCAGCCATAGGGCCAGCGGGATGAGTGGGCTCTAGCATTGGATGGACCTGGGTCTGACCCCCGGGCCCGTCAGTTAGCCCCCGGGGCTCCTGGCCAGGGGACAGACTCCTCTCAGCCTCAGTTTCTTTCTCTGCAAAATGGTGTTGCTGGTTGTAGCACGCACCCGTGTGGGTAGGGTTTTGAGGTCCAAACGAGGGAACACCCAGAGCTAAGGCGGTGAAGGTTGGCAGGCGACGGGGCCAAGGGAGCCACAGCAGAGCGGGGACGGGGAGGCGCGGGCGTGGCGCCGTGCTCAGCGCCCCGTCCGCCCGCAGAACTTCGACATGTTCGTCAGCCACTACAGCAGCGTGGGCACGCCGCCCTGCGTGCACGTCTACAAGCTTAGCGGGCCCGACGACGACCCTCTGCACAAGCAGCCCCGCTTCTGGGCCAGCATGATGGAGGCAGCCAGTGAGTAGCCCCCAGCCCCCGGGAGCTCATCCTCCCACACGGCCGCCACTGTCCCGCGGGCACTGTGACCCCACGCAGTCTCACTCCTGGGCCACCGTCTGTGGCTGACCCACGGAGCGCAGGCTCAGCTCAGGAGCCGGCTCTGCCCGACACAGGGGCAGAGGGGACGAGGCGTCCTCGTCCTCATGGCGGCCGTCCCCGAGGGCGCCTACGCAGAGCAGACACGCAAAGCCATTGTCTGTGGAAGGAGCCAGGGGGTGGGGGGTGGGAACAGTCATGAGGGGGGCCCCAGGGGACAGCTTGAGAGTTTGCCCAGGAGCCTGGAGTGCAGCCAGGGCTCTGCTCTGGTGGCCCCGGTCCCCATGCTGGCCACAGGGCCATCTCCTTATCTACAGAATGGTCCGACGGCCGTCTATAGGGTGGACGTCAGTGCCCGTGTGGGGCCCAGCTCACAGGCGCCTCTCACTAAAAGGATGCCCTTCCTTGACCCCCAACCTCCCCCAGCTGGATTTCCAGAACATTCTAGGCAATAGGAATTCCTGGCATAGGTGGGGCATTGGACGGACTAGAAAGCATCTTGTACCATCGTCACGCCTTGGCATCTAAGCAAATAAAATGCCTCCTCTATCCCCCAGCTCGGACTGTGACTCCTCGTGCCCCCCAGGCGTGACGGAGCAGGAGCCCTGCCTGCTTTTAGAGACAAGGACCCGCCTGTGCCAGCCCTGGGCTGCCACAGCGGGCTGGGGCCCGGCACGCCCGGCCTCGCCGTGTCTGTGACTGCCTCTGTGACCAGGCCGCAGAGTGCAGCCCGCGGGCCTATCCTTTATGCACTGTGTGGCCACTTGAGGGCCGAGACAGCCAAGCCGAAGCACCAGATGCAGATGACCCTTAAAGCCAAAAATATTCATGCTCTGGCCCTGCACAGAGCACATCTGACGACCCCTGGCCCACGTTACCGTTCATTTATTTGATTTTTGAGTCCACTCGCCCTAGTTGCCTAAATGAGTTTGAGGAAAGATTTCTCCTCATTCTGACTGCAAACCAGTGTCGCTCCGCAACCCTAAAAATCAGAGCAGGGTGGACACCACACTGGCCATGAGTCACATCCCAGAGGTGGCGGCGGCCCTGCAGGAGCCCAGCGAGCGTCAGGCACCCTGGGGACCTTCCCGCCCGAGTGTGGCCTGACACGCGCTCATGGGGCGCAGACGCATTGGCGGCCCTCGGGTTCGGATTTAAACCGGGGGCAAGCACAAATGGGGTGCGCCTGGGCCAGCAGGGGAGTGTGGGTGTCGCTGGGCCGTGTTCCCGCCCCGAGCCGGCCTCCCTGGGAACCACAGCCACTCTGTCACTGCAGGCTGCCCCCCGGATTACGTGCCGCCGGAAATCTTCCACTTCCACACGCGGGCCGACGTGCGTCTCTACGGCATGATCTACAAGCCGCACGCCGTGCAGCCGGGCAAGAAGCACCCCACCGTTCTCTTCGTGTATGGAGGCCCCCAGGTGGGTGCCGGCCCTGCTCCCAGTGCCCCGCCCCCTCCCCACTCAGCACTCGGGCTCCGGGTCCCTCCCTCTCCTGCCTCCGGGTGTCCGCACAGCCCACCCCCCAGGCAGCCTCCCCTCACCTGTTGATGCTGCCTGTCCCTCTGGGAAGCCCCCTTGATCCCCGTGTCTGTCCGGGCTGCCTGCCCCGCAGTGACCCACCCTCACCCCGGACACCTCGTGGGGACAGAGGTGGCCCTGGGTCCTGGGCCCAGTGCTTGGAGAAGGGGACAGGGCCAGGCAGGTCCGTCTGAGACGCACTTCTCACCCGGGGGGTTCTGCACCCTGGGACACGGCGATGTCTGGGGGCAGCTGTGCTTGTCACAACTGGAGCGGGGGCTGCCCCCGGCGTTTCACGGGTGGCTGTCAGGGATGCCGTCCACACCCCATCGTGCCCCGGCTGCCCCATGACAGAGAATGACCCGGCCCTGAATATTAAAAGTGCCAAAGTGAGGACCTGGGTTAAATCCCATTCCTCGGAGAACACAGCCGCCCGCCGCCAGCAGGGCTTGCATCTGTTCTCGCGAGATGACTGAGGGGAGAAAGGAGGCAGAAGGGAGCTGAAGCAACAGGGCACTAGCTACAGGGAGGCCTGGCGCAGAGGCCCCGGCCGCGGACGGAGCCTGTCAGGCTCTTCCCCTCTGTCGCACGTCCCGAGCACGGGGCCTAGGGCAAAGGGGCCCGTTTGACCTGTCACTCCCCGCGTCCACAGCCCTTCCAGGCCATCCGTGGCCTTCGTGATAGAGTGCAGGCGCCCTCCTCAGGCTGTCAGCCCCCCGCCACGCAGCCGGCTGGCGTTGGCCGTCCAGCCCTGGCCCGTCCCGCCTGGGCCGCACGCTGGATGTCTCCCCACCCGCCCGAAGCCCCATGTCCTCGCCTCTCCTCCCGACAGGTGCAGCTGGTGAATAACTCCTTCAAAGGAATCAAGTATCTGCGGCTCAACACGCTGGCGTCCCTGGGCTACGCCGTGGTGGTCATCGACGGCCGGGGCTCGTGTCAGCGAGGGCTTCGCTTCGAGGGGGCCCTGAAAAACCAAATGGTACCTTCTCTCCCGCGCTCCGGGCCTGCCTGTGTGGGGAGGGGAGGCACCTCCTCAGGGCCGGTGCTGGCCGGGTGCCGGCTGGAAGGGGGCAGCCTTCGGGAGCCCAGGGGTCATCTGCTCTGCTGCTCGGCTCTGAGCTGCACCCCGTTGGGAGACAGGTGGACACACATCCCGCCTGGTGCCTGGGGACCCAGCCAGACACGTCAGCACAGGCCCGAGTGACAGGAAGTCCCGAGGGCTGGGCCAGACAGGGCGTGGTGGCTGTAGCCGTGGTGCTGATGGTGATGGTGATGGTGGTGATGACAGTGGCGATGGTATGACGGTGACGCTAATGCTGGTGATGATGGTGATGATGATGATGGTGATGGTGATGGTGGTGATGATGGTGATGGTGACGGTGATGATGGTGATGACAGTGGCGATGGTATGACGGTGACGCTAATGCTGGTGATGATGGTGATGGTGATGGTGGTGATGATGGTGATGGTGACGGTGATGATGGTGATGACAGTGGCGATGGTATGACGGTGATACTAATGCTGGTGATGATGGTGCTGATGGTGATGGTGATGATGGTGGTGATGGTGATGATGATGATGATGATGATGATGACGGTGGTGATGATAGTGATGATGGTGACAATGGTGGTGGTAGTGATGATAGTGATGATGGTGACAATGATGGTGGTGGTGACGATGGTGGTGGTGGCGATGATGGTGGTGGTGATGATGGTGGCAAGATGGTGGTGATGATGATGGTGGTGGTGGTGATTATGATGGTGGTGGTGGTGATGATGGTGGTGATGATGACAACGTGATGGTGACGAGGTAGTGGTGATGGTGATGACAATGGTTGTGGTGGTGGTGATGGTGATGGTGGTGATGGTGATAATGGTAATAGTAACAACTGTGGTGATGGTGGTGATGATGCTGGTGGTGGGAATGATGAGGATGGTGGTTATGATGGTGCTGCTGGCAGCAAGGATGATGAGGATGGTGGTGAAGATGACGATGATGATAGTGATGATGAGGGTGGTGGTGGTGATTATGATGATGGTGGTGATATGACGGTGGTGGTGGTGACGGTGATAATGGTGGTGGTGGCGGCGGCAAGGATGATGAGGATGGTGGTGAAGATGACGAGGACGGTGGCAATGATGATGGTGATGACGAGGATGGAGATGATGGTGACAGTGTTAGTGATGACAATGACAGTGCGGATGCCAGCCATTCATGGAGCTTTAATGTGTGCCTGGCCTCTAAGTGCAAGACACTCACTATCTTGTTTCATCCTCCTGCCCGCTGTGAAATGGGTCTCGTTCATGTTAACGCCATCATTTTAGGGATGAGGAAACTGAGGCCTAGAGAGGGGGCATGACTTTCTCCGAGTCACTCAGCCAGAGCAGGGTTTGAACGGGGCCCGGAGGGAGCTGCTTTCTATCCAAGAAGGAGAGGGCTCCCCGCAAGGGACAGAGGTGGGACAGCAGGGCACGCGGCCGGGAGGAGGCCACTGAGAGGTGCCCGGCCTCGTCCCCAGGGCCAGGTGGAGATTGAGGACCAGGTGGAGGGCTTGCGGTTCGTGGCTGAGAAGTACGGCTTCATCGACCTGAGCCGGGTCGCCATCCACGGCTGGTCCTACGGGGGCTTCCTCTCGCTCATGGGGCTCATCCACAAGCCCCAGGTCTTCAAGGTGGGTCCCGCGCCCGCCCCCTCCTGGCTGCCGCGCCGGCCCGGGCCCCTCGGAGCCCGCCCCCCCAGGGGAGGCATCTCGGCAGGGGCCTTGCCACGTGGCTGTTTCTCCCCGCAGCAGCCCCATGGGGCCGAGCCCCCCTCCTCATTGCCCGCCACTGCGGACCCCAGGATGGCATCCGGCTGCACAAAACCCCGCCAGCAGCTCTCTGTGGGAGGCTGAGCCCGGGACCCCGGCCTCGGATGGGCAGAGGTGGGGCATGGTGTGAAGAGCGTCGGGGGAGGGGCCCCCAGGCCAGCCGCACTGCCAGGGCACCGCGGGCGGCGATGAGGAGGAGGAGGCAGGAAGGCAGTGGGACCAGGGAGGGGCCGGTCCCGCCCTCCCTCGACAGCGCACGGTCCACGGGGGACACACGGTCTGAGGGCCCCTCCCCGCCAGCGCCCGTGCATGCCCGCTCCTCACGTCCTCTGGGGAGGCCCCGGGACCTGACCTGCCTGTATGTCTCTCCTCTCTCTCTCTCTCTCTCTGCCTGTCCATCCCCTGTGGCCCTCAGGTGGCCATTGCGGGCGCCCCGGTCACGGTCTGGATGGCCTACGACACAGGGTACACGGAACGCTATATGGATGTTCCGGAGAAAAACCAGGTCGGCTACGAGGCGGGGTCCGTGGCCCTGCACGTGGAGAAGCTGCCCAACGAGTAAGGCCCCCGGCCGCCCGGCCTTCCAGGTCCCCAGGCCCCGGGCTGGCCCCCCGCACCGCTGCGCTCCTGTGGCTTCCGCCCTCCCTGTCTGCCTGTGCCTCGCGTCCCCTCCTGCAGCCGTCCCTCGTCGCGGCTCCTCACTGAAGGGGGCGTCCGGGGCGCTCCGAGAGAGGAGTGGGAGGCCCCCCGGAAGACGGAAGGGAGGGTGTAGAGTCACGCCACTTGGCATGCACCGGCTTCCCCCATCCCCCAAGCACGCGGCCCGCCATGGGCCCACCCGTCGGTCTGGAACCTGGGCGGCCTCTGTCCTGCAGATTTTGACTCTGTGGCTCGCGACACAGGTCCACAATGGTCATAACATCCGGTCTGTCGGACCGGCTCTCATGTCCCACGTCACGCTTTTGGCACTGGCTTCGGGGTCTCTGATTGAAAGAAAATGGTGTTGCCACTTCCCGGTGTGGCTCTGTCTGGGGACCGTGCACCGTGCGTCCCACACCTCTGTGATGGCCTTCTTGGGCTCTGTCACAGGCCGACCCCGCCTGGGCCCCCTCCCAGCGAGGCTGTCCCTTTGGTCTGGAGTGTGGCCTGGGCCCCCCAGGGATGCAGCATGCGGCCGAGCTCGGGACCCAGTGCTCTGGACCCGTGTCATCCACCACGGGAGCCCACAGCCCCCCTGTCGCTTAAATTCAGATTCACTGAACCAGTATACCCACCGAGACAGACGCAGATTGGCGGTTGCCGGGGATGAGGAGCGACTGCTGACGGGCGTGAGGGTTTGCTTTGGAGTGATGGAATGTTCTGGAACAAGAGAGAGGTGATGGTTGCGCAGCACTGTGGATGCACCAAATGCCCCTGGATCATTTGATTTAAAATGAGTTAATTTTAGGGGCTGGCCCAGTGGCACAGCGGTTAAGTTCACATCTTCCACTTCGGCGGCCCAGGGTTCACCGGTTCGGATCCCGGGTGCGGACATGGCACTGCTTGGCATGCCATGCTGTGGCAGGCGTCCCACATATAAAGTAGAGGAAAATGGGCACAGATGTTAGCTCAGGGCCAGTCTTCCTCAAAAAAAAAATTTTAAATGAGTTAATTTTAGGTTACGTGAATTTCATCTCAATAAATTTTTTTCGAAAATCAAACTTTAAAAAGTACAATTCCTTGGCCACTCTCATCATATTTCAAGTGCCCAGCAGCCACACATGGTGATGATGGTGGAGACCACGTTGGCGGGACAGGTCTAGAACATTCCATCCTCCCAGAGTGCCATGGGACAGCGCTGCTCTAGAAGCTTCCCTGCAGCTCAGGGCATTCCACGCACAGCCCTGCGCACGCCCCTCTTCTCTCCCCGCCTGGAAGGGAGCGAGGAGGCCCCCCAGACCCGCCAGGCGTGCCCCAGCATTCCAGCCCGCCACCGTCTTGCCGAGCTGCTGCTTCTGTCCTCGCTGCCGCTGGGGCTGGGGAGGGACTCGGGGCCCCGGGAGAGGAGGTCCCCTCTCAGACCCTCGCCCCGCCCTTGTCTTCCAGGCCCAACCGCCTGCTCATCCTGCACGGCTTCCTGGATGAGAACGTGCACTTTTTCCACACAAACTTCCTCGTCTCCCAGCTGATCCGAGCGGGAAAGCCTTACCAGCTCCAGGTGGGTGGCTGCTGGACGTGTCCAGGCCCCTCCCCAGGAGCCGGCAGGGTGGGCAGCCGCAGGTCGGGCCGAGCCGCCTCCCACTGCGTGTGCCACCTCCCAGGCCATCTGTGGCTCACCCTCCACTGCCCGCCTCCACCCGCACCCCGAGTGCTCCACACTGCCCCCCGGCTCCCATGTGGCGACGTGCATTCTTCTGTTATTCAGCGGTCACATCCTGATCGCTCCCGGTCAGCGCTGCCCAGTGTGCCGGGAACACCAGGGGCAGCCAGACCCCACCTCATGGCCTGGTGGAGGGAGCTGGATGGCACCGAAGTTGTTGTGCACATGTTTCGTTTCAAACCAAGAAACGTGCTTTGGAGGAAGCGTACCGGGTGCTGAAAGCATCTAAGGGGATGTCACCTTGACTGGCATCAGAGAATTCCCTGGGGATGTGACATTTAAGGGGAATCAGCTAGGCCTGGTGGTGGTACCCCGCTTGGCTGACACCAGGCACAGGAAATGAGTAGGAGGGAGCCACTCCTGGACAGGACCAGGGTGGCGGGAGCAAGCCAAAGGAGCTTGGAACCAGGGCAGGGGTGGTGGGTGGACGGCATGTGAGGGGCAGGCCTTGGAGGTGAAGAGTGGGGCTTCAGCAGTAAGGGGTGGGCCTTGGAGGTGGAGGCAGGGCTTCAGCAGTAAGGGGTGGGCCTTGGAGGTGAAGGCAGGGCTTCAGCAGTAAGGGGTGGGCCTTGGAGGTGAAGGTGGGGCTTCAGCAGTAAGGGGTGGGCCTTGGAGGTGAAGGCGGGGCTTCAGCAGTAAGGGGCGGGCCTTGCAGGTGTGGGATGGGGCTTCAGTGAGGGCATTGCTTGGAGGTGAAGGGCGGGGCTTCAGCAATAAAGGAGCAGGTCTTGGAGGTGAGGGGTGGGACTTCAGTAAGGGGTGGGCTTTGGAAGTGAAGGCGGGGCTTAACCAGTAAGGGGTGGGCCTTGGAGGTGAAGGGTGGGGCTTCAGCAGTAAGGGGTGGGCCTTGGAGGGGAAGGGTGGGGCTTCAGCAGTAGGGGGTGGGCCATGGAGGTGAAGGGTTGGGCTTCAGCGGTAAGGGGTGGGCCTTGGAGTGAGGGGCGGGGCTTCCACAGTAAAGGAGCGGGCCTTGCAGGTGTGGGATGGGGCTTCAGGGAGGGCAGTGCTTGGAGGTGAAGGACAGGGCTTCAGCAATAAAGGGGCGGTTGTTGGAGGTGGGGGCGAGGCTTCAGCAGTAAGGGGGCCGGCCTTGGAGGTCAGAGTTGGGGCTTCACCAGTAAGGGGTGGGCCTTGGAGGTGAGGGGCTGGGCTTCAGCAGTAAGAGGGCGGGCCTTGGAGGTGAGGGGTGGGGCTCCAGCAGTAAGGGGGCGGGGCCTCAACTGACTTTTGTTCTAAGGGTGAGTTGTGGTGTCCTGGCCTGTGAGCAGGGCTGTGACTGGTCTCCCTGCCGTGTGACCAGCATCCCTCTGGCTCTCCTGTAGCCAGGGGCCAGTGGGACGTGAGCCACTGTCAGTCGTCCTGGCAGGAGAGAGGGCCCTGGTGGGGAGCAAGAGGCCCAGCGGATTCGGGAGGAGTGCTGGAAGTGAGTGGGCTGGATTTTGTTACACCTCCTGCCACAGTCTTCCTGCTTCCCGGTCCCCTGCATGCACTCTGATCTGTTGGGGCGTGCCACGTTGCCATTCAATAGTTGGGGAAATGGAGGGTCATCGGGCAGGACGGCTGGGCCTCGGGGACCTGTGGCTGGGCACACACTTGCCAGAGGGGGCAGGAGGGAGGCAGAGCACCCTGTGGGGGTGCATAGCTGTCCAGGTGCTGGTGGCAGCCCCCACTCACCACACGCGCTCCTCGAAAACATCAGAGGCAGCTGCAGGTCAGGGCAAAGACGTCAGGGGGGCCCACATGGAACCTCGAGTGTCCCTTCTGAGCCCAAAATCCTAAACCAGGTAGCTGGATAGCCACTGCCTCCCTGTGTGGCCGTGGGTGGCAGGTCCATGAACCTCGGGCCTTGCTTGCTCATCTGCGAAATGGGCTCGATGACTTCCATCTCCACTGAGGCTGTTCAGGCCAGTTCTCTCGGGAAAAGCGTTTAGTGCTGGGGCTGGGTCCCGAGTCCTGTGCCCCTACCTCCCCAGGAGAAGTTGAAAGTGAGAAAAAGCACACCGTTAGGGTTGAGCTGGGGATGGGGCAGTGTTTGGGGGCAATGGAGTGCACCCCGCTTTCTGTTTCAGACACCCTGAAATAGCGGGGCTGGGAGCACAGTGGGGACCCAGACAGACCCCCTCCTTGCCCTCACAGCCCACAGGGAGGAAGAAATAACCAGGCAGCCGGGACCCAGGGTGGCATGAAGGGTTGGGGGCAGCAGGGTCTGCCCCAGGCAGCAGGTGCCCCGGGCCAGAGAGGAGTGGGGCCCGTGAGGCTGCAGGGGCAGCAGGACCCAGGAATCCGGCTCTTGATGTCAGGCTGCCAAGGCCTTAGAGGAGTCTGAGCTGGGCACAGTGCAGTCAGACTTGTGATTCATCCAGGGACGGATTAAAGAAGGCAAAGGTAGAGGAGGGGAGACCTCTGAGCAGTTTGATGCATTCCTAGGGTAATGGGCCCAGGCTGTGGTCGTGGGCCGGGAGAGGAAGGAATAGTTTGGTTTAGAAACCCAGCTTGCTGGTAGGAAGAGGTGAGGAATGGGGCCTGACCCTGGGACTGCCCAGCCCCAGTGTGGGATCGCGGCTGGGTTCTTGAGGTGAATCTGGAACTGGTTTCACGCCTGTCCCGTGAGCCCCAAGGTGCCATCAGGGAACAGTTGGGGTGCGAGAGCCCTCACTTCATGGCCAGAGGCAAGACCTGCGCCCTGTCACCATCCACCCAAGGGCCTGGATGTTGACCAGCCAGGTCTCAGGGACCCGCTGATTCCCTGGGCACAGCCTTGGGGGCCCACACGTCCCTGTCCCTGTCTGGGGATGACCCCCCTCGGATGGTGTGAGGGCCCACAAACCACTTGGCAGAGCCTTGAGGGGGGCGCCCTGGGGGCCTTGGCATGTACCGCGCAGACGAGGCCTTTCGGTGAAGTGGAAATGGCTGGGGTGGGGGCTCGGCTGTCGCTGATTTGCCGCCCCGCCCCCTCCGCCGAGATGGGGTTTGGGGACCGCGGCTGTCGGGGTTCTGGTCTTCCTTACGCGCCGGGGCCGTGCGTGTGAGCGCCTCGCCGAGACCCCGCTGGGGCCGTATTTTTCTCCCGGTTGTGGGGGGCGGCCACAGCCAGAGAGGTTCTCACTCGCCCAGAGGCACACAGCAAGCTGGCGGCAGAGGGGGATTCGAACCCAGGCCTGTGGTTCCAGAGCGTCTGCCCTTCCCCGTCCGCCCCGTCCACCCGGGATGGGAGGTGGCAGGGCCCCGGGGAGCCGCCCGAGCCAGGGGGGCGGAGGGGCTTCCGGGTGCGGAGTGGGGAGCGACTCGGGGAGGGTCCCTCGGTGCCACCAGCCCTGCCGTCTCTGCCCCCAGATCTACCCCAACGAGCGACACAGCATCCGCTGCCCCGAGTCCGGCGAGCACTACGAAGTCACGCTGCTGCACTTTCTCCAGGAATACCTCTGAGCCCCGCGGCCGCCGGCGCGTCCAGAGCACAAGTGGCTCCGCCGCCGCTGCCCCCGGGGGACCGAGTGGCCCGCCCCGCCGCGCCCAGGGGCGCCGCCTTCGCGCCCCCGCCTTCTCTCGGTTTTCGATGCTCCTGGGTTCTTGCCTGTTGCTTCTCGGTCGCCGGGAGGAGAGACGAGGCCGCGCCCACGAGGCGCTTGTCAAGCCATCCCCTCCTGTCCCCGTGTCGCCCGGGAGCAGGAGGTCAAGCCCGCGGCCACCGGAGAGGCCCGCCCCCGCGGCCCGGAGCATGCGACCGCCTTTCTGCGCGCCCACCGCATCCCCGCGTTTTGTTCTGGAGGGTGTTTTTCATCATTGTTTAAAGGACAGAAACGAGGGGGCCTCAGTCTAGAATCGGGGTCCGCCGCTGGCCCGCGGGGTGCGACCCAGCCAGCCCCCCGGGCGGCCGCACGCGCACACCAGGGTCCGGGGGCGCCGTGGCGCCATCCCCGCCTCAGGGTGACCCTTCCTCCTTCCTTTCCCTCCCCGCCAAGAGTTCCGCCAGGGGCAAAAAGCAAAACAGAAGCAAAAAAAAAAAAAAAGCCCCACCAGAAACGAACCACCTCTACATATTATGGAAAGAAAATATTTTTGTCGATTCTTATTCTTTTATAATTATGCGTGTCAGAAGTCGACTCATTAAACGATTCCAGATGGAAGCGTGGCCACCAGCCTCAGTGAGGTTCCTTCCCGGCCCCGCGGCTCGTGGGGGGCTCCTCTGAAGGGGGGGGGCCTGCCCCTCGCTGAAGATGCCCCACCCTCATCAGTGGTCCAGGGGGGACGGTCCCAGCCGCCCTGATGCCGCCAAGCGTGTCACTTAGGGACCCAGCACAGGATGTGGCCGCAGCCGGTCCCCCAGCCCCCAGGGCAACAGCACAGCCCAGGCCACATCCTCCTGGCCGCGCCCGGCCCACCGCCGCCCGCCACCATTACTACCTTTTGCATCTGTGCTTGTCCAGATGCCTCACTCCCTGGTTCAGGGCTCAGGAACCGCCGACCAGGGAGGGCAGGCCCTGCACCTCATCATGTTTGTCCCAACACCAACAACCGAGAGACCAAGAGAGCCAGGTCTCTGTGCCACTCAGCCATGCAGACAGCACTCTCCACTTGAATTTCTAACAGCAGGATGGCCTTGCCCCGCACGGTCACCCTCCATCTTTAGGAAGCTCTGCTTTTATTTATTTATTTTTTTTTTGCTGAGGAAGATTGTCTCGAGCTAACATACGTGCCAGTCTTCCTCTGTTTTTTAGTATGTGGGCCACCAGCACAGCATGGCCGGTAACAGAGAAGTGTAGGTCCGTGCTCGGAAACCAAACCCAGACTGCGGAAGTGGAGCGTGCTGAACTTAACCACTAGGCCACCAGGGCTGGCTCCCCAATCTCCATTTTTGATACCTGCATTCTCTTCCACCCTGTGAATGCGTCATGATTTATTTTGCTGGGTACCTATCAAAGGAAAACAGGTTATTCTTGGCTTTTTGTGTAAGTCAGTATAAATCAGAAGTCAGGAGACTTTATCTGTAAAGGGCCAAACAGTAAATATTTTAGGCTTTGCAGGCCAGTCTGTTCCCCCAGCTACTCGACTCTGCCCTAGGAGTTCCCAGCAGGCAGGGAGGGTATGTAAATGAGGGGGTGGAGGGTATGTAAATGAGTGGGCGTGGCTGTGTGCCAATAAAACTTTATTTGCAAAACCAGGCAGCCGGCCAGATTTGGCCCTCGGGCTGAAGTTGGCCAAGCCCTGGTATAAGTGATACGGCAAGAAACAGCCTGGTGCCTGTTTGGGGCATATGTTTGAGTTTACAGGGTAAACTATTCTAGGAATATATTTCTAGGAATTAACAAAAAGCATATTCATTCTTAATTTTGAAGAATGCCAAATTGCCGTCAAAAGAGAATGCCTCAGAGTACACTCCTGCTGAGAGGGGAGGAGTGTGTCTGCGTCTCCATTCCTTCCCCAGTACTAGGTGTTTGCATTTTTATCTTTGCCCTTCTGATGGGTGAATATGTCATCCCACTGTAATTTGAATTCAGATTTCTTTTATGTGTGGGAATCTCCATGTTTGATGACATCTGTTGACTAGTAATCATTTGCCCACCTTTCTTTTGACCAGTTGGCCTCATTGATTTGTAGACACTCTATATATGAAGGAAACCAGTCCATTGTCATACATGTTGCAAACTGAACTATGTCACCGATTTCAAAACGTTTTACAGGTTGGAAGCTCAGCCAATGAATGTTTAAAATCATCTCAGGAGCAAGCTGTCTTTCACTTAATCCCCCGTGAAAGAAAGTGGAGGAGGGAACTAATCACAAGTCACGGAATGACAAAAGTGGTGGGAAAGGGGGCACTGGAGTTGCCTCAGGAGGCTTGGCAGCTGGGAACCCATGATCATCTCAAAGCAGGAACTCTTCATCGAACCTCCCGCCCCTGCCTCACTCAGCCAGTCCTCAGATTGTCACGAGACAGCAAGAATGAGGCCCAGAAACGGAAGTGGGTTGCCAATGGGAAGTGGCAATGGATCATGGGCAGCTACAAAAGGACAAGTGTCTGCCGGCAGAAGGTCTCGGGCTCCCAGAGGTGGCAGGTTAAGAGGTGTTTGTTTCTTCTGAGTTGATACATGAGCCGCTAGCGTTCTCCCCCGCTGGTGGGGGTACCGTCAGCGGGAGGGTCCCCAATGCTGTTTCAGGTTATCCACACGCGTTTGATTCCTCTCCTGGTGGGACGGCTCATCTCTTCCCTAACTGGCAGGAAGCCATAGGTGTGGACATAAAACCCCGTGTCATATCGGTTGCAGATGTTTTCCTGGTTTGTCATTTTCTTCTCCAACCTATTTATGGTATTTCAAAAAAATAGTAACTATCGACACATAGGAAGTTGCAAAAATAGTACAGAGTCCCATCTACCCTTCCCCCAGGTTACAGCCCTTCCACACCATCGAGCTCGGGCAAAAGGCGAAGCTGACATGAGCACCGTGCACTTAACGAGACTCCAGACCTTATTTGGATTTTCTCAGCTTTCCCACGTGCTCATTTGTGTGTGTGTGCAGTTCTGTTCCACTCTGCCACCTGTGTAGATTCCTGTAACACCACCACCCTCAAAATACGGAGTTGCTTATTCACCACGAAGGAGCCGCTTCGTCCAATCCCTTTAGATCCACACCCCCGGCTGTTCGTGGTGTCCTGACCATAGAGAGAGAAATTGTACTATTTCTCTTATCTAATCTTTTCCTTTAAAGACTAGAAAGCAGGATCTTCAGAATGATGGTTTTCTCTCTCTTAATGCCTCCAGTGTGGGGTTTTTTTTGTTTTTTTGTGTTTTTTTTTTTTGGAAGCCAAAAGGAAAGGCAAGACGCTTGGGGCTCAGTCCTTCTGAAAAGAAAACACACACACGCACAAACCCACCCCCTTGCGTGGGAGACTCAGCTCACAGTGGAGACATCTTAGCATCAGCGCTTGGCCACCAATCGCACCCTTCGTAGTGACAGGCTGAAGGTCAAGCACCGCAGTGAGGATGTGGGAAAGACGTCGACGGAGCCGTGCTGAGCAAAACGCCGGAGGGATAGGACGGCGGGGGTCCGGTTTGTGGAGCCAGTTTCTAATGGATCCAGGGCAGGCAGTGGCGAGGAGGAAGAAATTCCTTACCCCAGAGCAGCCAGCCCAATTTAGGCCAGGCTGCTGCCGCAGAAAAGCATGAGTCCTGCAGGTAGCGTTATCTGGGGGGCCGCCAGCCTCCGACAGGACCCTCCTCATAGGGTGGTGCGATGGAGCCCAGCTGAGGGGTCCCCTGTGACATTTGCTGTCTGCATTCCGTTCTTTCAAGTCGGGAAGGACCAGGAAAACCAGCTTCATTCTGGAGACTCCAGATCTGGCCACGGGTGTTTTCTTGAAAATTTTAAGCAATTTGTGACCCACCCCCCCCCCCCCACAAAAGCTTTCCTTCCGTAGCGGGAAATCTGGGATTTCTTCGTTGGCATCTAACGCTGGTAACGGCTAATATTTAGAGTTCTTACTTGTAGGAGCTTTGCCTGCCTGCCCTCACTTAATCCTCCTGACAACCCCCCAAGGTAGGAATTATTTTCTTTTTCATTTCATATTTTGAAATGAATTTTGGCTCGGAGAAGAGCTGTAGAAATAGTAGAGTTCCAGAATACCCTTCATCCAGCTTCCCCTAATGTGAACATCTTATGTAACTGTGGTATAAGCCGGGTTATTGAAGCCAGGAAATTAACATCAGTACCATCCTATCATCTAATATATAATTAAATTATATAACTAATCAATATATTTAATTGTAACAAACTATTAATTAAAATTATATCAATTTAAGTTAATATTATTAAACAGTTATATTAATATATAATTTTATTAACATTATTTTATATATTATAAATTATATTTTTATATATAATATATAATTGTCTTAGTTATATATTAATTGCATTGATACATAATATAGTAATTACATATTATATTAATATACTAACTAAAATTAAAAGTTTTAAATTAATATATTTAACATATGGACCTCATTCGGATTTCACCGTTTCTCCCTCGAAGGTCGTTTTTCTGGTCCAGGGTTGTTCCAGACTGAATGTTTGTGTCCTCCCAGAATTCGTATGTTGAATCCTACCCCCGCAAGGGGATGGAATTTGGAGGTGGGGCCTTGGGGCGGTGATGAGGTCCTGGGGGTGCAGTGAATGGGATTAGCGCCCTTACAAGAGGGGCCCCAGAGAGCTCCCTCCCCCTTCCATCATGTGAGGACACAGGGACAAGACGCCATCTGCGGCCTGGAAGCGGGTCCTCATCAGACACCGAATCTGCCGGCACCTTGATCTTGGACCTCCAGCCTCCAGGACCCCGAGAAATAAACGCCTGTTGTTTAAGGCCCTCGGGCTGTGGCATTTTTGTTACAAGAGCCCGAACCAAGACAAGGACCGATCCAGGGCTCACACCGCCTCTCCTTGTCCTGGGCGGACCCTCAGCCCGTCTGCCAGGACATGTTTGAAGACTGCTGCCCGGGTATCTTGTAGGACATCCTGCGTCTCGGGTTTGTCTGATGTTGGCTTGTGATTCCACTGAGGTCGTGCATTTGGGGCGACGAATCCAGAGGTGCCCCTGGGAAGGCGCGTCTGCGGCACCGGGGTGTCGCCACCTCATGTTGGGGGACGGTAACTCGGATCATTGGGCTAACGATGGGGTCTCCGTTGTAAATTACTATTTTTCTCTTTGTAACTAATACGTATCTTGGGGGGCAGTACTTTGCGACTGTGCAAACAGGCTGGTTCTCATCACATTTTCCCCCACCCATTTGGAGCCTCCATCCACGGATCTTGGCTGCAACGATGATGGTTAGTCCAGTGGTGACTTTCCATTTCCCCCATCCCGTCTACACTGACTGATTGCAAGGGCTGCAGGGTCAGTCCACGGCCAGTAAGTGAGGGCCCACGGGACCCCGAGCCCAGAAACCCGGCTCCAAGACCACGCACCCCACGGGCTCCCCGAGGAGCCCCAAGTCCCGCCCCCAAGATGGCGGCGCCGGCGGGAGAGGGGCAGGGCGCGCCGGGTCACGTGGCCGCGCCGCGAAGACGTGGCCCCCTGCGGACGCCCCACGTGTCCCTCGCCGCGCCCCGTCGCCGCCCCTGCCCTGCGCGCCCAGTCCAAGATGGCGGCGCCCAGCGGCGGGAGGCACAGCGGCGGCGGCGGCGCGAGCTTGTGGGTCGCGCTGCTCCTGGCGGCCGTGGCGCTGAGGCCGGCGGAGGCGGTGTCCGAGCCCACGACGGTGGCCTTTGACGTGCGGCCCGGCGGCGTCGTGCACTCCTTCTCCCAGAACGCGGGCCCGGGGGTACGTGCCGCAACCTCCCCGGGGGCTCGAGGGGTGGCCGGGGCGGGGCCCGAGGAGGGGACAGAGACCGTTAGGGCGGGGCTCGAGGAGGGGGCGGGGCTTTTTTGGAGGGGCGTGGCCCCAGGGGGCTCGGTGAGGGGGCGGGGCTTTGCGGATGGGTATGGACCGAAGGGGCGGGGCTTTGCGGAGGGGTGTGGACCCTAGGGGCGGGGTTTTTGTGGTGTGGCGTGGAGCCCAGGGGCGGGGCTCGATGAGGGGGCGGGGCTTGAGGAGGTGGTCCTGGGCTCCAGTGCAGGGTCGTCCGGGAGACAGAACTGAACTTCTAGGGCCTCCTGGGGGCTGAGGGCTTTGAGGGGCCTGGGTCACCGACCTGAGTCCCCGTCTCCTCTCACATGCCCCGAGTGCCAGGCATCCCTGTCCCCCAGCCCCAGGCGAGTGTCCGGCCACTGGCGAGCAGGGCGGGCGCAGCACATGGGGAGAGGGGAGCTGGAGCTGAGGGGTGTGCGCCCCGAGGCTGTGCAGCAGGTCGTGAGCTGCAGCGCTGGCTCGGGAGGAAGTGGACGGGCGTGGCTCTCTCCTTCCGTTGCACAAGGTCCCACATCCTTTCCCCCCAGGTGTGAGGCCAGGCCCTCTTTACCTGGAGGCGGCAGGCGGGTCTAGCCCAGCCCTGTCCCCAGCTCCTTGGAGAGGCTTCCTCCCCACTCCTCCTTATCAGTCCTCCAACTGTTTGTTGAGGATTTCCTTCTAGCGGGTATTGTGCAAATACATTGTGTGTTAGGCACAGCAGAGCAGAGAGGGGCCCCCAGGTGTCCCTGCTTGGTGGGTGCTGGAGGGGGTGTGACCTCCCACTTCCTGTTCCTCATCCGCTAGAAGCCACGTGGGTCGTTGGTCCTGACCCAGGAGGTCTGCAGACTGCCTCCTTTCCCCAGGGAACAGATGCTCAAAAGAGGGCTCATCTTGATTCTGCACCTCAGAAGGACGGCCCGAGACCCTGCCGCCCCCAGGACCCCCTCCCAAGCCTTTCTCTTTCCTTCTGTTCTCTAGGACAGATACTCTTGCGTGTTCACCTACGCTTCTCAAGGAGGGACCAATGAGGTGAGTTGTTCAAAGTTCCATGTCGCTCAGCATGACGACAGCCATTGTCACACAGAGACGCTCTCCGGGGACAGCGGGCTTGGCTCGTGCGTGCGTTAACTTCCACTCATAAGGCTGTTCTTGCTTAACCAGGAAAAGCGAGAGTGCTCAAGTTAACTAGTGGTGGCAGGTTCCACTCGTAATTCCACAGAGCGGACACGCGTCTGGACAGCAGGAGCGGCGTGGGTGGGAAGCTGCCACTCCCATGGGCCTCTGTTAGGGGCGTTGTCTTCGTTTTCTGTGCTGTGTAACAATCACCCAGACTTCGAACCTTAAAACAACACCCATTTGTTCGAACCTTAAAACAACACCTCAGGGTCCTGGAGGTCAGACGTCCCAGCGGCTCAGTGGGGCGCATCATAAAACCAAAATCAGGGGACCAGCCGAGTGGTGTAGTGGTTAAGTTCACGCACTCCCCTTTGGCGGCCCAGGGTTCACAGGTTCAGATCCCGAGCGCGGACCTAGCACCGCTTGTCAAGCCACGCTGTGGTGGCATCCCACATAAAACGGAGGAAGGTTGGCACAGATGTTAGCTCAGTGACAATCTTCTTCACCAAAAAAAAAGAAAAAAAAAATTAAGGTGTCAGCCAGGCTGGGCTCTCATTTACAGGCTCTGGGAGAATCCCCTTCGAGGCTCGTGGAAGTTGCTAGAATCCAGTGCCTTGCAGTGTAGTGCTCAGGCCCCTGTGTCTTCGTGGGCTGTTTGCTCCAGCTGGTGGCAGAAGAGGAAGTGAGATTTGAAGCATGAAACGGCCGACATGCCCCATTGCCAGCTTTGTGGGGACCGCATGGCAAGGAGCACGTGTGGCCTCTAGGAGAGATGGGTGTCCCCTGGCTGGCAACAAGGAGATGAAGGCTTCAGTCCTTCACCCGCTGGGAACTGATTCTGCCAAAACCACGGGAGTTGGAAGAGGACCCGAGCTCCAGACGCGAACAGTGTGGCCGACACGTTGATTCTCGCTGGTGAGACCCTGAGCAAGGGACCCAGCCTCGCGATGCCTGGCCCTCTGCCCTGCACAGCTCCGAGCTATAAAGGGGCGTTGCTGTCGACCTGCTCAGTTTGTGGTCATCTGGTGCGCGGCGTAGGGAGTTGAAGGGAGCCCCCCAAAAAGATATATCCACATGCTAACTCATGGAACCCGTAAAGGTGACCTCATTTAGAAAGTCTTTGCAGATGTGATTAAGTGAAGGGTTTTGAGATGGAGCGATCCTCCTGGATTGTTAGGGGAGCCCCGAGTCCAGTGACGAGAGTCCTTATAAGAGACACACGGGGGAGGTTGGATAGGAGAAGAGAAGACGCAGAGGGGAGGCCGGGTGACACGTGTGGCCACGAGCCAAGGAACATGCAGAGCCACCGGAAACTGGAAGAGGCAGGAAGGATCCTCTCCCAGAGCCTGCAGCGGGAGCGCGGGCCTGCGACACCTGGATTTGGGACTTCCGGGCCCCGGAAGGTGAGGGAGTAAATGTCAGTTGTCGTAAGTTACCAGATCTGGGGTGGTTTGTCACGCCTCGTTGTCACGGCGGAAACAGTGGCCCCGTCTCTCGTGCCCCTCACTGTGTTTTCCTCCCCAACACCCAGGCTTGGGGAGACACGGCTCTCATTCCAGAACAGTCTGTGGCTCTGCGTCCCAGAACAGCGTGGAGTCTTAGAGACAGAGGCGGCCTGGGAACCCCCACGGCACGTGCCCGGCCCCCCAACAGGCTGGCTCCGGGCCATAGCCTTGTCTCACACTCAGGACGTTGAAATGGGCGAGGGGGTCTCTCCCCCAGCACTGTGGACGTAGGGGCCCGGTCACTGTCTGTGCGGGGCCGACCTGGGCACTGTGGGGGGTTGAGCAGCATCTCTGGCCCCACCCACTCGACACCAGGACACCACCAGTCATGACAACCACAGATGTCCCCAGGCGTCGCCCAGTGTCCCCTGGGGAACAAAGTGATCCCCACTTGACAACCACGGGGCAAGAGGGACATGCAGCCCGCTTTGAGGATTTTAGACATGTCCAGTTTGTAAATGAAAGTCAGTGATTCCCAGCGGCAACATTTTAACAGCCTGGAGCAAACGACTGGAGACCCCCGTCCCAGCCTCTGCTCCCAGGCGTCCACTCCGCTGTGGGACATTCTTCGGAATAGTAACCCCGGGCCCGCGGTCCAGCCCTGCGCCCCGAGAGCCCCGGGATGCGACCCAGCGCGCCCTCGTCCACGTGTCAGCCCTGTCGTGCTGACGATCGATCTACTGGACAGTGACATCGCGGTGACGCTGCTCCCGTGGCACGCACACCTCGTCTCATCTCGCCACCGTGCCAGCAGGCGGGACTGTCCCCACATCATCCCTTTTCACACACGAGGACACGGAGGCCCAGAGGTGGAGAATTTCCAGGCTCCCGAGCTGGGAGGTGACGGAGGTCCCCAGGGCACAGGCCCCTCCCCACAGCTCTGTGCCGGGACCCGCCCGGCGCCACCGGCAACCTGGAAAACAGCACACGTGCCTCCCTGATTAAGCTTCAGGGGGACCGTCCGCTCTGGCGCTGGGGGAGAGTGGCGGTCGCTCCCTCTGGGCGGTGTGACCACAGGCCGGGCCGTCTCTTGGAGCAGCAGTGCAGTCACAGACTAGAGCCAGCCGTAGGCTTGGTCCTTTGGTCCCGGCTGAGCGGATTCCTCCTGAAGCGAATCACCCAAGAGAAGAGAGACGTGTTTGGCGCCGTCTCGTTCTGGCAGCGCTGATCTAGGACTGTGACAGTCGGACACCGCGGGTGGCCAGCGGTTCCCGGTCTGGGCGCCCAGGAGCCCTCAGGACTGTGGGCGTGGGGTCGGGGGGGCTGCGCACGTCCAGCTCGGGGGCCCAGGCCTCTGAGGGCAGCAGCGGCTCTGGCTTCTTTGACGGTGGTTTGTGTCTCTGGGGGTCGCCTGAGAAGCCAGTGGTGTCAGGTGACAGTGGGCACAGGCTTGTTCATGAGCTCCCGGTGCCCCCCACGGTTGGCGAGAAGGCAACAAGTTGTGGCCACTTGGGAAAATTGGCCGTTTCTTGTAAACATGCTCACCAGACAACCCCACACTTCCACCGCTGGGTGTCGACCCTGCAGACGTGAAGATGCAGGTGCACGCAAAAGCCTGGGCCGGACTGTGCGTAGCCGCGTGATCCAGGACAGCCGACAAGTGGAAGCAACCCAAACGTCCATCCGCGGGTGTGTGGATCAGTAAGATGCGGCCATCCACACGCTGGAGCACGATGCAGCCGTGAAGAGGAGCGAGGCCCCGACACAGCCGCACATGGACGGACCTGCACACACGACGCTCAGGGAGAGAAGCAGACACAGAAGGACACACAGCGTGTGATCCCATGGACGGGAAACGTCCAGAACAGGCAGATCCACAGACAGAGAGCGGGCTCGTGGGCGCCAGGGGCTGGGGAGGGGCTGAGGGCACTGCTGATAGGGACGAGGTTTCCTTATGGGGTGATGGAATGTTCTGGAATTAGAGTGTGATGACGGTTTCACAATCCGGAATATACTAGAAAACACTGAATTGTGCACTTTGAAAGGGTGAATTGTACAGTTTCTCAATAAAGCCGTCAAAAGGAAGTGAACTGTGGAGGCCCGCAGCAAGCTGCCAAACCTCGAATGCATTACATGAACTGACCACAGACTGATGGTCCGCACAGGTGGCCTGCAGAGGCACAGCGATGGGGACTGAGGTCAGATCCGTGCTCACCAGGAGTTTGCAGGAAGGGGTTGACCCCAAGGGAACCGGGAGCATCTTTGGCAACAGAGAACCCATCTGGGTCTTGATGGGGCGAAGGAGACGCACCCGGATGCGTAGGCCAGACTCCTGGAACTGGCTGCATTTACATCCTAATAAAAAAGAATAGTGGCTCCCATTTGCGTGTCGTCTGTGACGCCCGGCCACTTAGGACCCTAACCCCCTTGGCCTTACAGAGAACATTCCAGAGGCTCAAGCTGAACTGGGCGCCTCCTCGCCCGGCCCCCGCCCTGCAGCCACGAGCCCACGGTCAAGTCCACATTTCACAAGTCCCCTCAGAGGGACACTGACCCTACTGCCAAGAAACTTTTGGTTTTAAATTTGTTTGCATTCCTAATTTTTTTTTTAGTGTTAAATATTGGCCTTTCTTCTCCTGATGCTTTTAAGAGCTGTGGAAAATTTTTCCAGACCTATTTCACAGCATAAAACCGTTTCTGGTTCTCAGAGGCCTTGGAGCCCAACAGGTATTTATTATTAAATAGAAAATAAATAGGCCGAGTGGCAGGTCTGGCCTGGCACCCAGCGAGCGTGTCCTGCCGGTTTCCTGCCGCAGGCAAACGGCTTCAGTGACCATCTACTCCCCTGATAATTACCATAAAAATGGACTTGTTTCCCTTCTGGAAAGGCCTTGACATTAAACCTGGGTCCATTATTACTCAGGAGAGGGCTGTAATCTCTCATTTTGCTGGCAAAACGCAAAAATGCCCAGAAGTGACACAGGTTTACGGTTCCCCGTTGGCTGGGTTTTCAGAGCCCGTGAAAATCCAAATAAACTGGTGGCGATGTGTTGGGGAAGCATGGAAAGTTTTTAATTTTTTTAATTTAGTTTTTTTTAAAAAAGCTAATACATTCGCATTGTTCAAAAAGAAAAGCCTATGAAAAGCTTTCCAGCACCTTCCATTTGTCCGCTTCCCGCCCACGTCCTTGGTGTAACGGCGATGATGAAAATCTTGTGTCTTCTCCCAGGACTTCCTTATAATTATACCAGCCAGTGTGAATGCGCTGTCTTCCTTTCTTGTCTTTTTGTTTTTATTTTCCTTAACAGATTTTATTTTCTAGAGCAGTTGTAGGTTCACAGCCAAATTGAGCAGAAGGTAGAGAGATGGATCTCTTTCTGGCCGCCCATCCCCGCATGCACAGCCTCCCCCATTATCAACGTCTCCCCAAGAGGGCACATCCGTGGCGATCGAGGAAACTATGTGGCCCAGTCACCGTCGCCCCAAGTCCATCGGTGACCTTAGGGGTCACTTGTGGTGTCATGCGTCCTGTGGGCGTGCACGAACGTGCGATGGCACGTACGCCCCGTGACAGGGGAGGTCCACGGCCCCGAGCAGAGCGTGGGGGCACCTGCAGGCCAGGCTCCAGCCAGGTGGCCCCAGGAAGGTTCAGGCCCTTTGCACCACTGCGAGGGAGCTGGAGACAGAGCGAGCCCGCGCCGCCCGGCTGTGCGTCCGGCCTGACGCGTGTCCATGTTCTCTCCGCAGAGGTGGCAGATGAGTCTGGGGACCAGTGAAGACCACCAGCATTTCACCTGCACCATCTGGAGGTGAGTGTGGGTCCTGGCGGCGGCGTGGCCCCCGGAGGAGGCGCCTTCGCTCAGGGCTGCTGCAGGGGAAGGGGTCAGGCAGAGTGACATGGGCCCACAGCCCTGGAGGGCACACCCGGGTGCACAGGCCGGCGGAGCGGGTCACGTGACTGCAGGCAGGAGAGGGGCTGCCACACTGGGCTGGGGCATGGCTGGGGCGAGGACGGCGCCGCCGGGAAGCGCGTGGACACTGAGGCCCAGAGGGGTCGGGGCCCTGGGGAGTGTGGGCCAGGCAGTGTGAGCAGCCCTGGTCCCCTGCAGTCACGGTGATGGTTCAGTGCCCTGTCCATCCTTCCCGTCATCCCGTCCTGACAGGGAGTGTGGGGATGAGGGGGTGGAGCTGCCTCAGGGCCTGTCCCCGCTCCCCTGTGCTCCGCGGCCTGGGACGCATCACCCCAAGAGAACCCATTTCTCCAGCCTTTACTGTGCGCCTGGAACAGTGCAGGCCCTTTGCGGCTACGCAGAAGTCCAAGCCGTGGTCGCCCCCCAGGGCACCGGGGTCAGAGGGGCACAGATTACAAATGGAACACAATCAGGGAGTGGTGACGGTGACATTTAATTAAAGGACACGCGAGTTTTAATCATACTAGTGGCGCCATCCCAGTGCCCTGCTTGATGCCGTGCAAACAGCAGGTGTTACTAAGTAGTGGGGGAGCCCCACCCGCTCTGTGGGACCGGCCCCTATCGGAGCCCCGAGTCCTCGTCAGGATGCCCGGGGGCGCCCGTGTCACAGGAAGGCCCCCGTCTGCACCCTCCCCGTGCATATCGCCACCCCGCACGGGGCGTGCACACCAGTCCCCCAGGTGCCCAAAGACACACGCAGCCCCAGCCACCTGTGACCTTGGGCCCCCCGCCCCGCCAGGAGGTGGAGCGTGACTGGCCTGGCCTCCAGATTTCAGACACTGATGGGTCCTCAGTCTGCCAGGCCCTGGGCAGCCACGAGCCGAGAGAATTGGGGGTCCCCTGGCGCCCCCACCCACCTGCATGCGCCCCCCCATCCCCGCCACCCCCTCCCAGCCTCCCTGCTGCCTCCACCCCCAGCCCTACGCGGATGTCCTCGTCCCTTGTGACACCAGTCATCCCCGCTCAGCTCCTCTCTGCTCCGGTCACCCGACCTTGCGGTTGCTTCGATGTCCCCTTTGCACCCTCCACGGGACCTTTGCAGATGCCCCGCCCCCCCTTCCTAGTTAACCCCTGTACTTCTCAGGCCCCGGGGTGTTGCTGGCCCCGCCCTCACTGCAACACCTGGAATGTCGCCGGCGCTCAACTGAAAAGCACTCGGGGAACAAACACGGGGTTGGGGCCCAGGCCAGCTGGAGCCCCGAAAGGGAAGGGGCCAGGAGAACGTTCCGGCAAAGAGGAAAGAGGGGTGGATGGAGTTGAGGGGGCCCCTCCTCCTCACGGTCAGCGGCGCCCGAAACGGCGTCCGTCCTGGAAGCGGGGCGCACGCGGCCCGGCTGACCCAGCCCCTCTCTGCAGGCCACAGGGCAAGTCCTACCTCTACTTCACGCAGTTCCGGGCGGAGGTGCGCGGCGCCGAGGTCGAGTACGGCATGGCCTACGTGAGTACCGGCGCCTCTCAGCGCCCGGGGCGGGGGCACCGCGAGGACACGAGCGGGGACAGCGCGGGCGCAAGGGGACCCGGAGAAGCAGGCGGCGTGGCTCACTGGCGCGGCTCCGGCGCCCCGTGGTCAGCGCCTCGGCCTTGCTCCCGACCCTGCAGCCCCTAGCAGGGCCGGCCACACTGCAGGGCCCCCCGCTCCTGCGTTTGGGTCAGAAGCAGTTAGAAAAATGCTTGTCGGTTCCAGAAGCGGAACTGGTGGGAAACAGGCCTGGAGACTCGTGGCCGGGACCTGCTCCCACCAGGGTCTGCCAACCGCACGGGCATCCTGTCTTCTCCAGGGGGCCTCGGCTCTGCTGTGAAGGCCCTTCACCTGACTAAACCAGGCCCACCCGTGCCCTTTACCCAAAGTCGGCTCAGGGTGGCCTTTCATCACCTCTTCAAGACTTTCCTTCCCGCCAGCAGAGTCCATGTGAGTGGGGACCGTGGCTGCCCCGAGTCCACACATCAGCGTGACCAGCACGCCCTTGAACCAGCTGTTCTCCAGGGTCCCTTCTCACTTTAAAACTCTCTTCTCTTAGCTGATTTGAAAGAGACACGACTCAGACTTTTAAACATTACGCTCAATGTTTGATACTGTCAGGCTTGTGTCTTTTCCATAAATTAACTCAAGAAAAAATGGAATTCAGTGCCTTCCTCCCAGGATTTGCCGCAAAGGCATGACGTCTTAAGCCAGTGGACAGGCTCTTAGGGGGTCACCGAGCCTCTTCTAGCGGGTTCTCCTTCACGGGCTGAGAGAGGCTCCGCGCGCGCCCTCAGCCTGTGCTTCTCGGGCAGCAACGCGACTCATGTCCTCCCCCGATTAGAACAGGACCCCTGGTTCTCTTTCAGTCGAAAGCTGCGTTTGAAAAAGAGAGCGATGTTCCCCTGCAAAGCGAGGAATTCGAGGTGACCAAAACAGCAGGTGCGTGAAGATGGAGGGGTCGTGGCTCGGGACCCGGGGCTGGAGCGGGGAGGGTGGGGGAGCTGACGGCACCCACCGCGGGCGGGCAGGGACAAGGACTGCCATTCGGGTCCTGGGGGTCAGAGCCGAGCGTCGGCAGACTGTTTCTGTAAAGGGCCAGAAGGTCGGAGTTCTCACTTTGTGGGGCAGCTCGGGGTGTCTCTGTGGGCTAGTCCACCTGGGTGGCCCCGGCGGGCAGAGGGGCGTGAGTCCTGTGTCGGTGGCTGGACCGTGGCCGCGTCCCAGTGAAACTTTATTGTGTGAACACGACGTGTGAATTTCACGTCACTTTCCCACATCCCAAAATTCCGTTTTCTTCCCATTGTTCTGAAAGCTGTTTAAAAATGTGAAACCTACTGTTAGCTCCCGGGCAGCGGGCCAGCTTTGCCAACCCCCGATGGAGAATCGTGAGCCCGGTGTGCTCCATGGGGGGGGTGCACCTGGGACGTCCACCCTGCCTGGCCGGGCTGGGCTCTGTGACCAGGAACGGCCTCGAGAGTTTAGAGCATCGTGGCCACAGGGCACTGAGGTCAGGACCGCGTGTGTGACGGGGGAGCGGGTCATGCCCCAGTGTCCTCTGAAGCACATCGAGCCGCGTAGGCAGATGCTGAGCAGAAGGATGAGCGAGACGCTCCCGAGTTGGGGCTCAGCGTGCAAGAGCAAGGGGGCAGGTGATGGTGACAGGGGACGTGGGAGCTAGCCGCGTCTGGGGGAGCCGTGAGGGTCCTGAGGGACGGGGAAAGATGAGGCGAAGGGTCTCATGCAGCTGTGGGTGTCACCAGGCTCGAAAGTGGAGAGGAGGAAGAGGGCACGAGCAGGGGGCTTATAGGGAGGGGCCTGGGTCCTGGAGGTCCCGGGACCATTCAGAGTCAAGGTCAAGGACGGGAGGTGGGGTTGCTGGCAAACCCCGAGCCCCAGGGCACAGGATGGACAGGGTGTCACAGTCCAGCTGGGGGGGCGGGTGGCAGGTGGAGGCCGGATTCCCTGGTCCTGCTGGAAGAGCATCGTCTGGGCCTCAGATTTGCCCGTGTGAGCAGGAGGTGACGCAGCCCGACCCCCGTCCCCTCTCCCTGTGGCAGAAATGACCATGGCTCTTCCCACCTCATTTCCCGTGGCTCCTGCTGCCCTCGACCTCCCGACCTTTCTTCAGTCCCTCACCCGTAAGACCCTCGGGGCCAGGGGCCTTTCCACGGGGACGGCTCCCCTGCCCAGCCCAGGACCCAGAGAATCTGTGGGGCGGCGAGGGCCCTCCCAAGCATCTCCTCTTCCGCAGTGTCCCACAGGCCCGGCGCCTTCAAGTCCGAGCTCTCCAAGCTGGTGATCGTGGCCAAGGCATCGCGCAGCGAGCTGTGACCGGCGCCCCGCCAAGGCGACTTCTTGTCTCTGCTGGCGGAGCCTGGCCCAGGGGGCTGGCGCATCCCTGGTTTTCTGGGGGGACTGTTGGTTTTCTGCCCACGCTGCTGTCACCCTGTTCCGAGGGGTCCTCAGGGCGGCAGAGGCCCCGGGACGGAGTCCGCCGCGCCCGCTCTGCACCTGGAGCGTGGTCTGGGGCGGCCACTCGTCTTTCCCACCAGGAGGGGCCTGGGGCCGGCGGCTGTTCTGAAGCCAGCGTGCGTCCCCGTGGGACCAGCGAGCCAGCTGCCCTCTGCCCTCGAGCCGACTGTTCTCTTAGATTTCCCCAGGGGACCTCCTTTCAGACCAAGTGGGAAGAAATGACATGTTCTTTCGTATTTGAATAAAAAAGACGATTGAAAAGCGACCACAGAGACTCAGCATCGGGCAGTGCCGGCCACCGGGCTGGGCACGGGGGGCTGGGTCCCCACCCCAGGACAGCAGCGGGGGGCTTACCGCCCCCATGTCCCTTACCCCTTGGAAGCAGCTGAGCGGCGTCACGCCGGGCAGGATTTTTCTGGAACTCCTGAGCCCACGGGGGCTGGGCTGGGCCACGGCCACCGCAGTCCCACGGGCGGGCCTGACGGAGGGCGAGGGCTCCAGGGTCGACCGCTTCTGCGCCCCGGGAGTGGCCTTGCGACGTTTCTAAAGCCGCATTGCAACACAGTGACTTGGAAAAAAAAAAAACCACCCGCAGGCAAAGAAAAATAAATGGATGGAACCCGAAAGTTCCCAGCCACTCAGAGGGGCCCTGGGAGTCTGACCCCCGGCTTGACCCCCAGCCTGACCTCTGACCGCGTCTTTGCACCTACAAACAATGGGAAAGAGACCTTTGCCGGGCCCCAGCGCTGTGGGGCGGGGGGTCGTCCTCGGAGCGCCGTGTTGGAGGATGGAGGCCTCTCTGTCCCTCTGTGACCCCACCTGGCAGGGGAGAAGCGGCCGGGGGCGTCAGGGTTCCTTCCACCCGTAGGAAGCAGAGCGAGGCCCCCATCCCGTCCACACGCGCAGCGGCTGCCCGTGTAGAGCGGTGTCAGGCCAGGCGCGTGAGCAGGAGGGAGGACCGTCTAGGAACAGGGGGACCCGGCCCTGGGGCACGGGGGGCACAGCATCAGCCACCTTAACTGCGAGCACACGTGACCTGTGCCACCTTGTGGGAGGAGCGGTGAAGGGCGCGCGGCCACAGGAGGGTCACTCGACCAAGAACAGCCCGGCCTCGAGGGCTGGGAGCATGGGGACCTGTGGGGGTCGTGGGGACAACGCCGAGGGCCAGGCGCCTCTCCCACTCCCGACTTGGAGGTTCAGCGGACCCAGCGCGTCTCAACAGGGGCCAGGAGATGGTTAGGATGGCCCGGGGCCCCCGCAGCCCCAGGCGGTGGGACACGGCCCACACTCAGCCTGGATCACCACTTCCCAACCCCAGGCGTCGTCAGGGATGCAGAGCGAGTGGGTGCGGTGCGCTGGGACACGGGGGGGGCATCTCGGGACACACAAGCTTTCCCCTGTTCCCCTGCGTGCCACGTGCATGCATCCTTATGTAGCTTTCAGATAATGTCGAGATCTAAGCCGCCCCGGCCCCAGGATCTTTGCACATGATGAGGAGCTGAACGGAATGCTCGTGGGGGCCTGCTGCCATCCTGGCGGAGCGGAGACCAAACCTGTCACCGAAGCCACGGGCATGTGACATTCCACACAACCTCAATTTCAATGGCAAAACTCTGGGAGGGTGCAAGGAAACCGTCAGACGGTGCCAAGCGAGTGAACTGCCACGTGCACAGGAAGCAAATGGGGGATGTGCCTTTATTTAAAGGGTTCTGTCATGCTCTTTGGTTTTTTAAGATTCAATCTCAAATTTGTGTAAAGAGCCAAGCCAGGCCGGACAGCACAGCGGGGACCAGGTCCAGAGACCACACGCGTGGACAGAGTCAGTCAGCAGAGCCGAGGGCAAAGGGTGGCATCTGGGGCTTCCGGGTCATCAAAACGCACGTCCCTGCTTGAGTTTGCAGAGCCGTCTCGACGACTGGAGACGAGAGGGGACACTCGCCCAGAAGGGAGGCCGAGGAGGGACAGCCGGCCCCCACGCAACAGCCTTTGGCTATTTCAGGGAAGCAGAAACCAAACCACAGCCAGGCCGCCCTGAATCCGGGGTCGGGATCTCCCAGCCGGCGCAGCAGGCCAGGGAGAGGCAAAAGGGAGCGGTGGGGACTGCAGCAAAGCAGGGACGGGGCAGCTCTGTGCGGCTCCCGGGCAGGCAATGCAAGCACCAGCCAATTTTCGAGAGAAACTCCAATTCTAGATGGGGAGCTGCAACTGCCTCGGTTTTCAGGTTGGCAGCTGACCCCAAACGTCTTGGACACCCGATGGGATGGAGCAAAGCCAGCTTCTCGCCTAATAAGGCCTGCGGCAGGCCTCCTGTTAGTGACCTTTGCCCTCGGCAGACCCGGCTGTGCAAAACAGTCAGGGACGCCGCTGCCCCTCCACCCGGGGCGCCCGGGACAACCATCCTGACCCCAATGTGGCCAGACCTGCAGCGACCTTTAACCTTCTCCAACCCATGCCCCCTTCTGACAAACACAAGTCACGCATGTGGAGGGTTGGTCCACTCCATGTGGGAGTCAGGGTGGCAATCTGGACCCAATGGAGGCGTCCTCGCCGATGGGCCCCCCGTAGCCCGCAGCCCAGCTGCCTGTGCTTGTTCCCGGGGCCACCGGACAGGGCACCCCAGACGGGGCGGCTGGAACCGCCAAAGCGGGTGCACTTCCAGTTCCCGAGGCTGAAGTCGGAGATCAAGGGGTGGTGGGCCGGTTCCCGCCAGGGGTCGCTGGGGGTCGCGGGCCTTCCTGGGCATCCATCCGACTCCTGCCTCCATCTCTGTGCGCCCTTCTCGTTTGTGTCCGGGCACAAATGTCCCCTTTTTATAAGGACACCAGTCCCCCGGGGTCGGGGCCCACCCTGCTCCACAATGACCTCGCTCAGCGAACAACCTCGGCAGCAACGCTATTTCCAAGCCAGGTGCCACGGGAGGCGCCGGGTCAGGAATTCAACCGAGGGGTCTGCGGGGGACGCTGCTCGGCCCTGACGCCCCCGCTCCTCCAGGTCCCCAGGACGCCGCCCAAAGGACGAAAAAGCCGGGACCCCGTGAGGGGGCAGCCCCGATTTCAGAGCCATCGGTGGTCTGAGGGTGCAGACGCGTCCCCCACCGCCTGTCGCGGCTCAGACGGCCACCTCGAGGTGCGCGTGAGGTCCCCACGCCGAGTCCATCTCCCCATCGAGAGGGGGCGGGAGGGGAGGCACGTGGTCCTGTGGGGAGCGGTCTGTCACCCTCCGAGCGGGCACGGGGCGCCGGCCGCGGGGGGTCTGGCCTGGGACAGAGTGGGTGGACTGGGACGAAAGGACCAAAAAGACAAACGCGCACCCCATCCTCCCTGCCGGGGGCGCTCAGAGGCTGCCCTCGTCCAGCATCCTGGAGAGGCCCTCGCAGAGCCGGTGCCGGTGCGAGCGGTAGGGCTCGGCCGGCCCGTAGAGCGCGGCCAGGAAGTCGCCGTCGGCCAGGTGGCCGAAGACGTGGCTGATGCGGCCGTGGGACTTGGCGGTGAGGTGGCGGCCGGCCGCCTGGTGCAGCTGATCCCGGCACTCGAGCAGCCCGGCGGCCAGCACGCGCCGGTCGAAGGTGAAGTCCACCTGGTGGAAGCTGACGGCCGTCATGGCCAGGCGACGCGCCTGCTGGCGGAAGCCGCGCAGCAGGGCCAGCTCGTCGGCGCCCAGCTGGCCCCCGCGGAGCAGCACGGCCAGCTTCAGGGCCACCTTGACCAGGTTCTTGACCAGCTTCTGCGCCTCCTTGCGGCTGCGCGTGAACTCCTTGGCGGCGCGGTACAGCTCGTCCAGCACCTCGCTGCTCGCGTCGTCCAGGAACGCGACCGCCACCGCCCGCGAGGCCACCTTGCCCAGCAGCTTCTTCTGCGCCTGCAGGGCCAGGCTCTTGGTGCTGAAGGCGTCCATCGGGCCTGCGGGAGGAAAGACACACGCCCGTCAGGCCCCGCCGCCACCGCTGGTGGCTCCCGCCGCGTCCCCGGTCCGTGTCCTGGGCGCACGAGCTCCGGGCCGCGCAGATCCGGCCGCCTCCCTCACCAACTCGGTGTCTCAGGGCAGCCCGGAGGCTCTGGGCGCCGGGAAGGACATGCCGTGCCCGGGCCACACAGCTCCCGTGAAGCACCTACTGTGCGCCCAGGTGGGGAGGAATGGAGGGAGGCGCGGTGAGGGCCGCCATCGAGGAGGCGACAGAGCCACAGCGGGGCGCCCCCACAGGGTGAGGAGGCCCCTGGAGGGAGGGATGGGGAGAACATGGGGGAGCGCACCCCAGGCTAAAAGAGCCGCCTGCTCTGAGGCCCCCTCTCTGAGCAGCTGCGGGAGCACAGAGCGTGAAAACCGCATCGGGGAAGCTCGTGACAAAACAGCATCCACACTAAAGAGATGAGGACACGAGGGACCCAAAGAGGCCTAAGGGAATTTGTTTCTTAAAAAAAAAGAGAAGGCTAAGTCAAAGGAATTAATGTATAATGGTGGAATCTGGGCAGGCCTTCAGAGGCCTGGCCCTCTGTCTGTTCCTCACGTCCACCCCCTTTCATCCTTCCTGCATGGTGGTCTCCAGATCTCCCAGGCTCTAGGGCCTCCCCATTTGGGCCCCTGCCTCTTCCCTTGTAAACTCTTGCACATCCCTCAAAACCCTAGACCCCAAGCCCCTGCCTCTTCCCTAGTGAACTCCTACACACCCCCTAAAGCCCCAGCCCCTAAGCCCCTGCCTCTTCCCCTTGCATATTCATCCTTCGCTCAGCCTGGGTACCACCTTCTCCAGGAAGCCACCCCTGAACAGCCAGACTGACAGCGAGGCCCCTCAGCCCCCACCCTGGCCCAGGCCCTGGTCAGAGTCCAGCCCCACCCCCGCCCGGCTGGGCCAGGAATGCCACGCGGGCGCCCACTCGCCCCGGAGCCCCCACAAAGCCTGTCTCTGTGTGAGCCCAGACTCCACCCTCGGCCACCCTCTCGCCTGTCCTCGGAGGTCAGGGCGGCCACAAGGGTAACTGGACCAGCCTTCCCTGCCCCCCACACCAGTCACGGACCCCGGGGCTCCGTGGCCGGGGCCAGACCAGGACTGCTGTGGACTCAGCCCCGCGTGGCCGGCCCTGAGCTGGCGGCAGGTGCCCGTTGCGTCCCTTCCCCTGGTATTGGGCCGGCTGCCTGTTTTGAGTAAGAAATTACACAGGCTCAGAGAGGCTGAGCCACTTCCCCAAGGCCACACAGCAGCACAGTGACTGCCTGCCCCTGCCGCCTCTGCAGGCCTCGCTCCCTCTGCCTTCCCCACCTGATGCCTCCCCAGCACCCCGAGTCTTGGGGGGCCAGGAGCTGCCCCCGCGACAAAACGAGCCCCATACTTAGGGCCTGCTGCCGGCTCTGACCGCCTGGTCGAGCGACATAATGCCCCATGCCTCAGTTTCCCCATCTGTAAAATGGGGACGATCAGCTGTAACCAGATCCTGGGGAAGAAGTTTGTGGCCAACCCCAGGGCCCCCCGGGCTGCAAGCAGGGTTGGGCTGGTTCCCGGATGCCCTCCCACCAGTTTCTCTAGAACATTCTATTCTGTTCCCTCTACCTGGACTCCCCTGCCCCCCATTACTCATCCCATCAACTCCTGCTCATCCTTCAAGTTGTCACCTCCTCCTGGAAGCCTTCCCAGATGCCCCAGCTGGGCTCCCACGGCGCCCTGGGCCTCTTCTATCGCCACCCTGAGCACCCCGGTTTCCGTGTCCCCGTCCCTGGCCCAGCGGCGCTGGCAGGGGCTGGGTCCCCCGTTCACCCCATGTCTCCAGGGGGAGCCCAGGGCCTGGTACACAGCAGGTGCCCCATAAGTGTTTGTTGAATGCCTGCGGGAAAGGATGTCTGCAAACCTCGGAATCAAGAGGGGCCTCGAGGCCCTGGGTCCAGTCTCCCCTGTTTACAGGGGGACAAACCGAGGCTCAGGGAGGAAAAGGCCTTCTCCTGAGTCCTGCGACGAGGCCCAGGCGCCTGGACCCCAAGGGCCTGTCTCGGTTGCTGTGTGACCCCAGGCAGGGCTCTGCCCCTCTCTGGGCCTTGGCATTCCCACCTGCGAGTCCTGAGGTTGGGCCTGTTGGTCCAGGAGGGGCGCTGGGCCTGGGCCCCCGCGGCGCCGCCCTCCCCACCCCACTCCTAGCCCCTCCGGCCCCCGGCTGCCTGGCGACACCTGGGCCCGTCCCCGTCCCCGTCCCATTGTTCTGCCAGAAACGCCCCATCCGAGCGGCCAGCCAGGGGGATGACAGCTGTCCCAGGGGAGCGGCCTGAGGACCAGAATAAACCCGGGCCTTCCTTCCTGCGGCCACGCTCCCCGGGCCCGAGGGCGGGCGGCCAGGAGGGGCCTGGGGACCAGATGGCCAGTGTCCTGGGTCCGTGCCCACCGAGTACCAGAACAGCCCACTCCCATCACAAGCCACAAAGTCCCCCTAAAGTTTCGGAGGCTCAGCGGGAACACTCATTCAGTCACTCGATAAACGGTTAGGGAGCGCCAACTGTGTCCCGGGCACTGGGGACACAGCAGTAACCCTGCCCTCCCAGGATCCCAGCCTTCAAGACCTCAGGCCACCTTGTTAACCCGCGTGTCCCCGTTTCCCTGAAGTGGAATCCACAGACGCTGTGGTCCGCCTCCACCTGCCAGTTTAAAAATAAAATTCACAGGGCCGGGCCCGGCGGCCTGGTGCTTAAGCTCAGTGCCCTCCGCCTCAGGGGCCTGGGTTTGGTTCCTTTTTGCAGCCATGCTGTGCTGGTGGCCCACATACTAAAAAACAGAGGATGATCAGCACAATGTTAGCTCAGGGCAAATCTTCCTCAGCAAAAAAAAATAAAAATAAAAAAATAAACTAAAAGTCTCAGATGGTGATAAAGCTCATAATCTGAGGGAGACTGAGCCAGAAGAGGGTTTAGAATGTTCCACGTTCCGTGTCTCCATCTGGGTCTGCACGAATGGAAAAGTCGAGCTCGGTGGTTTGTCCCTGGGGGCATCGCGGGAACCGGGACACATTCTGCTCAAAGCAGAGCACCATCCGCCCTCCGTCCACCCAGGACTTGCATTTGGGGAATATTCACTGGAAATTAAAACCGGGCAGAACGCCCCCTCGTGGGTCTAGGTTTCTGGCGGGATGTAGGAAGTCGTGGGGGCCGAGGGGCGGCCCGGAGCGTGGCGGGACGCCTGGGGTCCCCAGTCCCTGCCCCCCCAGATGCCAGAACATCCTGTTATTGTCACAAGCGACAAGAAAGCCCTCCGGATTTCCCAAACAAGCCCCTAAGAGGCGGTGTCGCCCCTGCTGGAAGGAGGCGACGCCAGAAGCCAGTGAACACAGAAATAAACAGGATAATGGGGGGGTCGGGGGTGACAGCCAGGGACAGCAGGTGACCTTGGCCGAGACGCTCAGGAAGTCCTCTCTGAGGTGGCGTCCCTCCAGCTGGGAGTGGAAGGACAAGGTCTGGGGGAACATGAGCCAGGCAGAGGGAACGGCTAGTGCAAAGGCCCCGGGGCAGCTCTGTGTCTGAGCCTCCCCTGGGCAGCGAATGGCCCCAGACCCCGGGGACCTCGTTCTTCCCAGTCCCTCCAGGCCCCAAACTCAGGAGCCGGGGCCGACCTCTCGTGACATCGACAACCTCCCCTCCTTCCAGTCTCCCGCTCGCTCACTCACTCGGCTCCAGCCTCACCGTGTCCTTCTCCCTGCAACCTGGTGGCCTCCGGGCCTTTGCACGTGCTGTGCACCTGCTGCCAGGGGCGTGGGGGGGATGGGGACGCAACAGGGCAGGACATCCCACCTCCCACGGTCCTCGCTGCCCCTCGGGGATCCCGTGACTGCCGCCTCCCATTCGACACGCACTCGAAAATTCCTAACCACCAGGTTTCCAGAAAAAACCCATGTCCCCATATACGACCACGCCTGGGTTTACCCTGTGTGCACACAGCTCACAGACGTGACAAACGACACAGGACTTTTTACCGTAAGTTCCACACAGACGACTGAGTCCCACAGAACGTTCCAGGTGAGTTTTGTCAGATTCACGTCACGAGCCAACCCCTGTGGCCACTGACACTCGAGTGCGGTTCTGACACGGACGTCATTCGCTGTCCTCCTGTCTGTGAACGAGACCAACGCGGGACAAGGACAAGGAGAATGCCACTCGGGTTCATCAGCCACGTGGGCAGCTTCTTTCCCGAATTGGAGACGAGTTTTCGAAGAGCACGAGCCTATTTCCTCACAGCGCCGGGGCCATTCACAAGGAAAGCGCCGCAGACACGCGCACTTTTAAGTTTACTTTTCATTCTGGACATTCCCCTAAGTGACACCAGCGGCTGGCCAACTCCGGCCCCCGGCTTGTTTTTGTAAATAAAGTTTTATTGGCACACGGCCACACGCGTTCATTTACATGGAGCCTACGGCCGCTGCCAGAGAGACGGTGGGGTTGCCACGCCACAAATATTTGCTTTCTGGGACCAGCCCGTGGTGTAGTGGTTGAGTTCACATGCTCCACTTCGGCGGCCGGGGTTTACCAGTTTGGATCCTGGTGCGGACATGGCACCACTCATCAAGCCATGCTGTGGTGGCGTCCCACATACAAGATGGAGGAAGATGGGAACAGATGTTAGCTCAGGGCCAATCTTCCTCAGCAAAAAAAAAAAAAAAAAAAAAAAAAAAAATTTACTCTTTGAGGCTTCATAGAAAACATATGCCAACCCCTGGGCTAGACAATCAATAGAACATAAATCAAGGCCCTGATTTGTGGTGTCCGCTAATTTCTGTGGTGTAGATTCTCCCGCTATGGCCCATTTGAAGCTTCCAACTTGCTGTCCGCGAACGCGGAGTTGGGAAGAAATGCTCGCCGTTTCCACCAAACAGATGCCCCGGGTGAGAAGAGCAGCAAGAGCAGAGGTCACAGCAAAATGTCATAAAAGAATCTGAAAGTTATGATTTTGGATTATTACCTTTGCTTTTTCATAAGTTTTTATGGAAATATAATTTGCAGACCAGAAAATTCGCCCTTTGAAAGTGGACAGTTCAATGCTGTTCATATATTCACAGAGCTGGGTAATGATCACTGCTAATTCCAGAACGTTCCATCACCCCAAAGAGAAATCCTGTCCCCATGAGCAGCCACACACACCCCCCTCCACCCACTGAGCTACTTTCTGTTTCTGCAGATTCGTCTATTCTGGGATATTTCATATAAAAAGAAGCACAAGCCTTCTGTAGGGCCGGCCCGGTGCGCACATTCTGCTTCGGTGGCCTGGGGTTCGCAGGTTTGGATCCTGGGTGCGGACATGGCACCACTTGGCACTCCATGCTGTGGCGGGCGTCCCACATAGAAAGCAGAGGAAGATGGGCACAGATGTGAGCTCAGGGCCAGTCTTCCTCAGCAAAAAAAAAGAAGAGGATTGGCAGGAGATGTTAGCTCAGGGCCAATCTTCCTCAAAAGAGAAAAAAAGAGAACCACAAGCCTCCTGTGTCTGCTTCTCTCCCTGAGCGTCGTGGGTTCAGGTCCGTCCACGTGCGGCTGTATCGGGGCCTCGCTCCTCGTCACGGCCGCGTCACAGTCCACACCTTTGTTTCCAATATCACTTATTCACTGTGAGATCACAGTCTGTCATTTCTAATAACGACAAAATTATTAAATGGCGACATTCCGGAAAATACAGCGAGTGGCTCCCGGGAGCCGGGCCGCGTCCGCATGAATTCTTCATGCCCCGCACAAAGGGCATCAATAATGCATGGGCCCCCCCACCCCGCCCCGTCTCTGCTCGCTCAGCGCTGGTGGCAGTGCCCAGGGTGGCCTCCAGGCCCCACCGGCCGTGACAAATGCCCCCCCCAGGCCTTGTCCCCACACGATGCCCTCCGCCAACGGAGCCTCCAACTCGAGCCCTTTGTCCACCGGCGCTCAGACCATGTAGACGCGGCAAGAGGGAGGGGGCACCCGCGGGCCCGGCTCAGGGGGACACCAGTGGTTCTCAGACTGGGTTCCCCGGAGCCCCCGAGGGCCACCCCAAGGACGGGCAGGGTCCGGCCGCCTGTTGGGCTCCGGGGGGGCTGGGGGGCCCCACACACACGTCGGGAGACCCCGCGGACGAGACAGCCCCGCCTCCGACTGAGAGAAAGGGATGGAGGCTCCAGGGTCACCGGGCAGGAAGGGGACACAGCAGCTACAGGGGTCACGGCCCCATCCGCTGCTCACCTCCACGCCCTCTGTCCTGGTCCCCGGCTCCCGCCCTCGCCCCACGGTCTGTCCTCGCCGCAGCCGCCACCAGAGGGCGCCCAGGAGCCCCGAGTCCTTCCCGCCCTCCTCCGCCCGCAGCCCTCCAGGCTCCCCTCCCTGGGGCAGAAGCCAGTGCTTCCTGCGGCCCACAAGGCCCCGCACGGCCTGCGCGGTCCCCTCCCTGCCCTCTTTCCTCCCTCCCTGCCCCTCTTCCCTCGGCTCCAGCCTCCTCACTGCTCCTCCCACACGCCTGCCCCAGGGCCTTTGCACGGGCTGTGCCCTCTGCCTGGGATGCTCTTCCCCCCAGGTCTCCACATGGCTGTCTCTTTCTCGTCACTCAGCCCTCTGAATGTGAAATGTCGCCTCCTCAGGAGGGCCTCCCAGATCCCCCATCTCAACTACCTTCTTCATCCATCTGTCCGTCCACCACCAGCACGCAATCACCACTAAGCGTAAGGGTTTTTCTGGAGGAACGTGGCTCCCCCGATCCTGTGAGCCGAGGGAGGGAGGGTACCAGGTCGGCCCTGGCCACTGCCAGGTCCTGCACCAGGCGTGGCTCACAGTAGGTGCTCAAAAACTGTTTGTTGAATGAATAAATGACCTCCCAGCACCAGAGGGCCAGAGAGTCAGAGATCTCATCCAAGAGCCCCACTGGCCAGCCAGGGAAACTGAGGCCTGGAGGACAGGGCCTTAGCAGACCCCAAGGACTCAGTGAGGGGTGCCTCGGGGCAAGCTCGGGTGGCTGGGATCCCAGGGGAGGTGCGCAGACCGCGTCTCCAGGCCCCCCCCACCCCGACTCTGTCCCACGCCTGGGGCTGACCCGGGCCAGCGGGAGTCACCGTCCAGCGTCTGCGGCTGGGCGGGACGTTCCCATGACAACAGCTGGAGTTCTGTCCCCAGGCACCCTCCCCCGGCCCCAGTGGACAGACAGGGACACTGAGGCCCCTGAACCCTTCGCATCGAATCGCCAAGCAACCCAAAGGCCCCTCGGCGGCTGGGGCCTCAGATAAGGGGACACCTGACTGGCCCAAGGCCACACAGCGGGAGGGGACCCCGTGGGGCCTCGAATCTGCACCTGCCTGCCTAGTCTCTTCGATTGGGCCCCCCCTGTGCCCCTGCAGAGCGGGGTCGGAGCCCCCCACACTCGCCCCCAGGGGGTCTGGACGCTCACCCGCCACCGGCATCCCAGGCCGCCTGGCCAGCCAGTGAGAACAGCGCAGCCCAGGTGTTTGGTGGCTGGCGACAGCTCTTTGTTCTGGTTTCCATAGGTACAGCGTCCCTGCCCGCCGCCTCCGCCCCTCCCAGCCGCCCAGCCCTTGCCTCCTCGTTCCCTGGGCCCGGCCCACGAAGCAATATGTTATGTTTTAAAATTGGCGCCTGTGGACCTGGCCGGGCATAGAGGGAACAGCCCGTGCAAAGGCCCTGAGGCAGGACTGTGCCTGGCGGGTTGGAGGAATGTGGAGGCCCCTGCGGCTGGAGCAGAGCGAGTGAGGGGGAGGGAAGGGGGAGGGGGGCAGGGAGGGGACAGGTGAGTCCCACACGCCTGCCTTTGATCCTGGAAGCAGCCCCAGGGAGTTACGTCCCTGCCCATTTTACACACAGGAAACCGAGGCTTCGAGAATCGAATGCCTTGTTCGAGGTCCCATGGTGAACAGGAACCCACGTTTGTCCCATTCCAAGGTCTGAAGTCCCCGACCACTGGGCTGAACCGCCCTCACCCCACCGGGGGGCAGGGTGGGGGGCGCCCAGGGCATTCACCGCCCCCCCCTCCAGCTGGGCTGAGGCAGGACCAGAAGAAACCCAGAGGCTGTTCACAGCTGGGGCCACCCCTCCTCCAGGACGGCCTCCTGGGAGTGGGGGTGGCGATGCCCGCGGATCTGGGTCAGGTCACCCGCCAATCACCCCGGCGCCCACCGGCCCAGTTCGCACCTGGCCAAACTGAGGCCAGGCCTTCGGGCCCCTGGGGAGCGCCCGGGTGGCCATCCTGGGTGGCCCTGGCTCTCCCGGCCGCCTGGCCCGGCCAAATGCCACCCTCAGGCCCACCCCCGCGCCTCTGCCAGGGCCGCGCGCCACCTGGAACGCCCTCCCGACCCTGGAATCCGGCCCTGGCACCTGGCACCCTGAAGCGCGAAGGGGGCAGAGTCCATCAGAGTCCCCGAGGGACGGGGGGCTGGTCCCGAGCACAGCCCCACGCCACCCACTCTGCCTCCCCCTACGCCACCCGGCAAGAGGGCGACAGGGAGACGGAGGGAGAGGGAAACTGAGGCAGGAGCACAGACAGACTGGGGGTGCAGGGCCACGGGGGCGGGAGAGGCAGACCGAGGGTGGCTGGGGGGCGCCGGGCCCCGCTCGCTCACCTGCTCTCGTGCCGGCCGTCGGTCGGGCCGTCGGGGTTCTGTCCGGCAGCCTCCAGGGGCCGTAGCGACGGCCAGGGACTCGCGCCGCCGACTGGGACCGGGCGGGGCGGGGCGGAGCTTGGCCACGCCCACCACGGCCACGCCCACCGCGTCGCCACGCCCCCGATCCGCCCCCGCCCGGACGGACAGGACCAGCCGGAGGGGGCGGGCCGAGGGCATGCGCCCAGCCAATGGCAGGGCGAGCGGCGTACGAAAGAACCAATGGGAGCAGCCACCCCGCAGGAGGGGCGGGGCCAAGAGGCTGGGGGATTCCTCCGGAATCGCCGAGGGGCCGGATGCGGCGGGCGCGGGGGATGCGGCCTGCTGGGGGCCCCTTGCAAAGAAAGGACCGGAAGGAGACCGACCTAGAGGCGAAAACAGAGAGAACCAGAGAGAAGAGAGAAGGAGACAGAGCCAGAAAGGAACAGACCAATCGGGTGGCTCTGGCCAGGCCCCTCCTCCCTGGGGACTCAGTTTACCCAGCTGGGTAATCGGGATTTGGGCAAAAGCATGTATCTTAGAGTGCAACCCCGAGGAACACTCGCCATCAGAATCCCCCGGGAGCCCCTTAAAAAAATGCCCATTCTTGACCCCCCCCCGCCAAGGTGGGCCGAATCTGAATTATTTGAAGATAAATCTTTCGGGGTCGCAGGTAAATTGGGGGGTGGGGCGTGAGGCAGCCGCTCGGTGGAGACCCCGCCGCGGGCCTCGCGGATGCAGCCTTCGTTCCGTGGGAATGGGGCCGCCTGGCCGCCCGCGGGCGGGGCGCCGGGCCCAGCTGGGGCCGACCCGGGAGGATGCAGCTGCGCGGCCTGGGAACCGGCCCAGGAGAGCTCCCGGCTTCCCCGCTGCGCGCTTCCTCTGCAGCCGCAGCCCTGGATCCCACTTGCCGCCAAGGCCAGGGAGGCCAGACAACAAGC